GTGTTAATTTCACAAATTAAGCTTGAAAGATTACTCAATCTTTCAATTCGTTTTTTAATCACTCTGGCAAGAATTATTAATAGTGTCTCAGGTGCGAATTGCTGATAGATCTTAACACAATTTGATTCACATTATTCTGAAATAGGTACTTGGATAATAAACGATCAATTGTAGAATTCAAACGTGTAATGTTCGCACGATTTCTGAAACAAAGAACCGATTTAGCTAGTTGATACATATCCTCATCGAGCAACTGGCTACGTTCCAAAATCTCCAATAAAACCAGGAAGCATGGTGTTTAAAATCGTTTTATCACTGTACTTAAAGAACGATCTTCATTTGTTGCTTTTTGTCTATGGATATCCTGGCATGAACTCTCTTCTTGCTTCCACGACGTTGAATGCTAAACATTAAACTTGGAATGTACGAATAACCAACTGTGTCATCCTTTTATCATTTTTCCAGTTATAATTATCTGAATGACGATTTCTTCGAATAAGATCAAAACATTTATTTCTACGAACTCTGAAGCATGTAAATATTACGAATCTTTCGTCAGACGATCACGTTTCGATGAATCGAAGGAAATTAACTATAGTTACCCGGATTGTATTTCCCAGATTAGAAACTGGGAATTCAAACAGCAAGGGATAGCGAAATTGTAGCAAGTTATAGGCATCCATTGCATGTGTACGACACATGCTGTGAAAATCAGTAGAGAACGGAGCCAAATGGGATAAATTTATCTTCCAAGTTTCTCTATACTAACCATGTTACGCCAACTATATAAACTCTACGTGTATCCATGCATCAAACGTCAATATCGTAACTTTTATCACTTGCTAATAGATCAAAGAAATGGTGAGGCGTTTATGAATCATCCGGGACACCATACAGTTTTCGCAATAACGATTTTCAAACGCGTTAGAATCTTTCGAATGGAATAGAAAAACAAGAAAAACGATGAATGGATTATAATAACAAATGGAGTTGCTAATGACTGTACATTGATAGCCAATGTGCGTAATTCCTGTGCGATACGTCTGCTTAATTAATTTAGTTAATGAACCTTTCGCGTCAGCAGGAAGGCGAGGTGTACGTTCAAAGAACACGATGCTCGAATCAAAAGCGAGGAAATAGTTTTGGAACAGGTCTCAAAGCGACCATAAACATTCGCGTTCCCAGGAAATAGTTGGCCGGCCGCCACTCGGATCCGCCGCAACGGTCCCCGTGTGTTTTCTTAATTTCCCCGAGATTTCGATCCGCCTCGCACGACCCACTTACAAACGAAGCGATGGATGTTCCACGGTGTTCTTACACACCAGCACGTTTTCGTTTCGGCCGCGAAACGGTTGGCGGGAATCCAAAGTTGCACGCTGCGCGTCCGTAATTCCCTTCGATTATTCACCTTCTACACGATTGACCACCGTTTATGCGAGTAACGAAAGCAAGCAGATTCGTATTTCGATCGAATCGTATTGTTGGCGTTCGGAATGTTTACGAAAAGCAAGCGGAATCGCGATGAAATTCAAATGTTCCGGTTCTTCTATCTTTAGAATCGTCGATTCGAGTTAGCGGTTGAAATTTCAACTTGCCTATCGAAATTCCACTTTCGTATAAATTACGCATAACGAGTTACGTAAATCGCCGTTTTATCAGCGTTTTCTCAAGTGCTTCGTGCAGAAGGCAAAACGAGTAGTCTTGTACTTGGATCGAAACACGTGTATGTATCAGTCACCGCGAGACAGCCTGACGAATACAATTAAAAACGAACAGAGTGATTGCAAGCCGAGTGACGTGGTCGAACCGAATACTTTTTCCGTGATTAATTGCCAGCCGATTCCATCGAATCGAACAGAGAGTCAACGGACAGATCAGAAGTCTAAACGCAAAAGCTGACTGACAGCTCGAACGATAGCGCGCTACGTACTCGGAATCGGTACTATCGATGGATAGAAAAATCGCCACCGACTCTATTAATAGATCTCGATAGTTGCTTTTCCGCAGTGCCTTGAATCTTTCATATGCCTGACGCACCTGTGCAATTACGAAACAGCTACACGTGTTACGAAAAGAAAAATAAAACTGAACGCTTCCGAAACGAACGGCGCTCGAAAATGATTAAATAATTATGTAACGAGTCTTTCCGTGTTTGCCAGTAGAAAATTTTCTACAAACATCACTTTAGTTTCATTTTCGAACAATTTTATTATCGATACAAGCGAATCTGAAAGAGTTCAAGACCAGCTAGATTAGCAGTTGGAGCGTTGATTAACATACATATTAATCAATTTTCTTGAATATACATCTGAATATCAGGATATATTTTATTTCGTGACTTAAGTAGAAAAGTCTTCTACCATCGCGAATGAATGAAAAAATCATTTGATAATCAAACGCGAAAGTATGAAGTGTTGAATTGTTATCACAGTCGGAGGATGCAAATGTAATCGGTAGAAATTTGCGATACATACGGTATCGTCTAAAAATAATATCTCGTATCGAAAAGTTGCGAGGGCAGAGAGAATCGAGAGCAGTATAAGAAGAGAGAAAAAAAGAGAAAACGATCCAAAGTACGAATCTCGAAGTCGGTAGCGAAACGAGCAGCGGCTCGTTAGCGGCTAATGGAGAACCCATAATCGAGCGTTCCCGAGCGCGATGCAATTTTATCATCCACAGCTGGACGTGTGTATCACGAGCGATCCAATATGCCGTTTTCACCGCCACGCCATTTTTTCCACCCGCAAGATCTCTAACTACAGTTCCTACCGTTGCTGGTGCAGTGTATCGCGTTACCGCGATCAGCACGTAACTTTATAACATACCCGACTATTTCCCTCTTCTCAGTCATAGACCGCAACAAGTTATTACTACCGAGCAAACGCATACGTTCGCGATTTTCCAGTTTCCTTGCTGAACCAATAAACACGATATTTCATCGGGATAGACGCTAAATGCACCGAAAAGTTGCCAATAAAATGAATCAGTATCGTCAGATAACGAGATGCAATCGTAACGGAAGGAAATCATGAAATTTTACGATCAAAACAGAATTTGTTTTGAAATTTTCCAAGTATATCGATGAATTCGTTTGATATCGTTATAATTCCACTGCGAAGGTTTATGCCTTTTCTAATGATCAGAAATACCTAATCATTTACAGAGTTGATAGCATCTGTAAAAAGGTGATCCAACCGTTAAGAATTGTGGAATCGATGCGAAATTTTACGATCGGGAACTCATTTGCTTCGAAATCTTCGAGGCGTTTCGATAAATTCGCCTGTTATCGTTACGATTCGATCGAGACCGTTCACGCTTCCTGTAATTACTCTCCGATATACCTACTAATCGCTGGCACTCGTGAAAAGGGGATTTAATCGTCTGTAAATGAAACGGTGGCAAAGTTTTCGATCGGAGTCGCGTTTCGTCTGAACAAGCCTGTAGAATCGGAGAGGGCGGTGATTCAACCGCTTCTTCTTTTACCATGAATGGTATTGCATTGTTCCGGGCTTCCGTGTAATCCACGCACACGCATACACACGCTGACGTACGCCAGAATTCTGCAGAAACGGCTATCGTATGTTTTCCCTGCGTAAATACAATGTTCGTGACTGGTTTTATCGCCTTCGGGCCCTTCGTACCTCGTCGCTGCAAACCGCAGACGGCGGCGATCGCGCGAAAACACGCGTTCATAATGCGCGCGAAACGCGTCCGAATCCGCGAGGGGGTATTTCGGCAGCGAAAGTTTCGATTATTCGAATTCCGTTTATCCGAACTTCTGTTTTAGCCGTACGATTGCTATACAACGATATCGCAATACTGAACAACACTGAAGAGGACAAACTGGTTGTTTGTTAAATGTTTTAGAAACACGTCGCAAGGTTACGACGTTTCGATTTTAAGAAGCCAGTTTCACGGCTGAGCCGTCGATGTTTTAGACGGAAAGGAAAAACAGCGAGACAAATATCATCGGCGGACAATGAGTACTGCTAGTCGTTCTTTGTTAAACGTTATATCAACAGACAAGGTTGCAACGCTGGGATTGTGAAAATTCCACGAGTTTCAGGAATGATTCATAATATTTTTGGCTAAATAAACGCTGCTACCTATTGTGCAGCAAATATTTTAGATACACGTCGTTAGGTTGCAATGCTGTTGGCAAAATGTACGGGGAATATGTTTGGATTAGCTAAGTGCAACGATGCACTCGGGAAACGCAGGTGCGTCTTCTGCTAAAAGGAAATGCACTTGACACTGTCGGTGGTATGAAACTTACAAGGAAAAAACGATGCGACACCTGTTGCAATTTTTGAAAGAATGATGCAAAATCTTGGCGTTACTTGCAAAATTGCAATGCGAAAGTTAAAATTAAACGGCGGAAGAGGAAAATCCGGTACGCTGATCGCGCGAAACGTGATTTACACCGTCTGCAACGAATAGAATTTGAGAAAGAAATGTTTTGCATTTACATCGCGTGTTCTTTCCGCGGCGGGAACGGTCTTTACTTGAGCTTTAAAGCACGCGCAAGCAACACGCGGACACAAGAACGGGCGTGTTTGCGGTTCTATGGCGGACGTGGACCGAGATAACGCATTAAAATAGTACGCCAACAAACGATAACACGTATTTAGAATATCTGCCGCAGTGTCGTTCCTCGCCGCGATATTAAATCGCACGCTTCGCGCTCTCTCTATAATTGCAATGATTCAAACGGCCAACACCCTTCCCTTCTGCTCGTCGACCAGAAGAAGATACGAGAGAAATAGAGAAGCGAAAAATCAGTTTCAGTTTGTCATGCGTACTGCCACGACAAAACGATAAAACGGAACTTTTAATCGCCGCTCTAGAGGTCGTTTACATGTAACTACACGCTTAATGCAAGCAGGAGAAAAATCACATTTGCAACCTTCTTATCGCGAGCGTTTTCAATGCAACAAGCGTTCTACAAACGGGAAATTTGTAGTAATGACGATGATTAGAAACAGGAAGGATTAATTTACCTAAGCAACATGGCAGAGTGACTTTACGGAGAAGATCGTTGATGTCTGATCGCTATATTGCCAGCATGCTGCTCCCAATCTGTACTCTTCGCACTTTCAGCCTCAACTTCTGACAGCCACCTGAAACATAACGTTAAAATCCATCTATAATCATGAGAAAAAAAAATCATAAGTTATTATCTCCAATGAAGCGTACGGTGATGTTAATTACTTTATTAAAGAAATTAATTTCTGCTGGGTATAGATACAGGTTTTTAGATCACCATTTTCTATCCTCAAACGATCAATGAATAATCATTTAATAATTATAAATTTCCTATTCGTGAACATACGCACAGCACTTACTATATTCCCAGCGGAGTGTACTGATAAACTCATGATAATCGAGTTGTCATAAAGACGATGAGTTAATTAAGCAGCAGGACGGCGTTACAAGAGACAACCGATACGGTAATTTCTTAATTATCATTAGACATAGTCGTTAATTAAGCACCAAGTTATTCCCAGGGATCGTAAAACCTTCAGAAGTTAGTAAAGTGTTCGAACGATAAACAAACGACTACACGGTTCAACGTAAAGGCAACCTGAAAAAAGGAATTCCAATCGGATTTCTTGCTACGCGTTTATTTTCAGCTGAACTGCAAAAACGGAGCGTCGAAAGTTAAGAGTATCAGGTATTTGCTAGTAATTTCAAACTACGTTATTTCGTCCCGCGCTTCTTCGAATCGTTAGACGACAAGCTGAAAAAATCCACCCGTCGATCGTTCCGAATTATCGATTCTCCAATAATCACTTTGAATCGCTTCAATTCCTGTACGTCGTACACGTCACGTTGACGAGTTGCCCGCTAATGTAATCGCGTCAATTAAAGTAACATTCGAGGATTTCTAATAGAGCCAGCCTGCGAGCCAGATTATGTCACCTGCTGGCACGCGGACGATTTTAATCGATCGATTTACAGGAACACCCAAGCCGGCTCCTCGATCGAATCGCGCCGGCTCGTTTTCAATTTCATTTTTCTCCGCGATCCTTGTCTTTTCCTTCTTCCTCTCTCTTTCGTCCGCGATTTACGTAACACCGCGATCGAGAAGATCTTGTATTAATTACACCGGCATGGCAGCAGCTGCGTCGCCGCGCGGCCATGAGAAAAACTCGCGTCGCTCGATTGCATCTTTGATTTACACGCGGATCAACGAGATTACCTGGATTTCCGCTCCGCGACAGCGAGCTAACAGCTTCATTCGTATCGCGGTTACCATCTGCAACCATTCGTACGACATTGTCCTGGGATATCTGGAGGATATCGAATGAATGCAAAGAAAATGAGGATGCAACCCTTTAGAAAGGGCGCAATAGCCATCCCCGGATCTAATCAAAATTCAGCTAACACAGTATAAATATAGACAAACCATAAAAGATCTTAAGTAACTTCGTGGATTAAAAGGATCAACGTGGAACAAGAAGTTGAAGCACAAAGAAGAAAGACTTCAGCAAAACTACAGACTTGATGCAACCTCCTGGTTGCGCTGAAGGTCCAGCAAAAACTGGACCGAACGCGGTGCAACTTCAAGCTAGAGCTAATAGAGCAAGGTCCAGCTCTTAAACTGCTATATTCTTAACGCGGATCTCCTTTGTCAGGAGCAAGGAAGTTTGTGCCTCCTTCTGTACCGACGTTCAAAGGCATCCGAGCGTTTTCTTCGTGAGGCTCGTTAAGAGTGCCAGCCATCGGACCCTCTCCCGTCGATCTTGATTCTGAAGGAACCATCTCTCTCTTCCGATGAAACTCGACGAAGGAAGCGTAACAATTTTCGTTACAATCAGTATCGTCGCGGGACAACCAAAGAGCACCCACATAGCTGTGAAAGGTAAGGTGATTTCCCTATTCTAGCCACGCGATATCAGCTGAGTGTGATAAGAGATAAGAGACAGAGTCGGACTGATGTTTCTATTCTAAGCAAGGTTGACGTTTCGTTTAATGACTCTAGACGTAGTTCTTTTGCAGTAGCAATTTTCAATATATTTTATTTAAAAAAAAATATATATTTTATTTTGAGGGACAGAATTGATTACACGACTATGTAGAGCTGGTGTAAGTAGGTGGTAGTGGTAGCTGTCGAGCGGTAGGACCGGTAGGTTTGGTTTACTTCAAGTTCGTTGCGGCCAGCCGGTTGGCCACTTTTCTTCGTCCTCTCTTGATATTCCTTTTTTCCATCGGATTTTTCATTCTTTTTGCCGCCCCTTACCTTCTTCCTTCCATTTCCTTCTCGTTCATGATCTCCCACCGCTCGGTCCTCGTTATTCTCTACCCCTTTTTACTCCACTTCTTCCGCGCGCGCTGTTTATTTTAACGCGAGATCGAGGCGTAGCAAAAAGTATCTGTTAAAATCGCTACCCTCCGCACCGCAAAGTCGATAACATCGACCACGGTGTGTACCTGGCTTCCGTGAAATATTAGAGGTGTCTCGCTGCTGGTGGTGAGTCCCGTCCTATTTCGTTTCAACCAACACGACGCGACGGGGTGAGGATCGCTCTCGTCAGCGGTAGAACACGATGGGAACGAAAAGAAAATCTTCAACAGCCTCTTTTGTAGATACCGACGACTTTGATAGAGGCGTGCCCGTGTAGACAACCTACCATTAGGCTGAATAAGCATATCTTTACGAGATCTGGACAAACCACGAGCCTCTCCTATCGGTTACGTTTTTACTTCTTAAACGGCCGAGGAATGTAAACCCTTCTCGTGTCGTTTAAGCTGTACAATAGCCTCGAAACGAGTGCTATAATTTAACAGCAATTTATAACGCATTCCTTCCGATGATTTGGGGGAAATTTTTTGAAGTGATGAAGAGTAAGAATAGAGGGGTTAATATTTATCTACGCGCGACACAACGATGCAATACTCCGCGTAAAAATATCATATTCTTCTATTATGATAATTAAAAAAAAAAAATCTTATTAGATGTATACAAGAAAAAGAAGGATAGAAATCAAAAAGCATATGTAGCATGACTGACGTCCGTCTCCCGTCAAGTATCAATTGTGACCGTGTTTCACTGAAGCAATAAGAAACTCTATCTGTTGGAATCTCCATTGCCGGGACAATATCCATTATTATATTACATCATTGCGTAATCGACGTTTACGGTATTATGGGACTGGCCTCGCGCTCGCGCGCGTTCATCTCTTAACAAACTCGGAATCGGAATCGGAATCGTTCGTAGGATTCCGTGAACGCTCGGATTCTTGCCGATCGCACTGGCAGACATACTGGCAGCACCAGGATTTCCCGGTACTCGTGCAAGTTAAATGGTGTACGTGAAAGGGAAGAAGAAAAGCGTGTTTCGCCGAGCGCCGATTACAGATCACGGCTGTTGCGCCGTGTTACGGTTCGAATCATTGGAACCGGATGCGGAGCAATGCTTCTTGAAAACGATTTCTTAACATCGTCGTAACAGAGGGCTGTTATCGATTAGAGGATCTTTTAGAAAATCGGGAAAATCTCCGTGTGGCATTGATTCTTGGAGCAGAAAGTCGAAGGCGAGAGGAACGGAAGGGATCAAGAAATTAGCGTTAACGAGCCTCGATGATTCGTCGAGGAGGTTCCTGCGGTCCTACCGAATGTCCTCGACGAAAACCCTTTGCCGAGGAGGAGCACGGGTAAAAGGGGTTAAGCCCGGTTAGCAGGGAACTGGTTCTAACGGAGTTTTATGCCGCGCGATGGACCAGTTTTGCGGCCGTCAATGAAGTGCACTGTACACGAGTCGCGAGTGCACTTCATCGGTGAGGAGGGGCAGTGCACATTGGCCAGTGCAGAGAGAAGCAGTCATTGGCCGATCGGCCAATCGCGTCACGAACCAAAAGAAGACGACCGCCGGTCGCTCGTTTCGAATGGTTCGCCATGAGTCGATTCGTGGCGACCATCTCTCCTCTCCTCTCCTCTCGTACCCTCCTTTTCTTCATCGTCTCTCCTTATCGTGTATGCACAACACATGCATACACCACGTCCACGTGATTCTTCTCTCTCCTTCCCCTCTTTTTCACTTACAATTTATCCTCTTTCCTCCACGCGTTGCATCTTTGTTTTTCTCCCATCTTCCTCTCTTTTCATCGGTCTCTTCTCATTGCAAAGTGCCGTAATATTCTCCTGGTGGAGTTATTTTCGTCGTGCTCACCCAACCAGCTCTCCCGAGGCGGCATTGCACGGCTTGCACTCCGAGCATTGTCTCGAGGCTCCCTTCTGGAGTAACTGGATTTCCAGGCTAGCAAGGCGATCGTCGCCGATACCACCGATCTTCCCACTTTGCCTTTGTCTCTTCGTCTTCCTACCTTTCCCTCTAAACTCCCCCGTCCGACCGACCCTTTTTTTCTTCCTCGGACAAAAGAGAGCCCTACCTTTCGGTGAACCCGCAGGGTTGCGATCGGATTTAGCTGCCGAACTTTGGGGCTGATCTTCTACTCCAATTACGAGATTACACAGGATCGTGCGGGTCGTTTTTTAATTTTTCCAAAATTTATGAAAATTTCGCCACGAATGATGAGAGAAGTATCGGGTTTCTTGAGATTGAAACGAATCGAGAAGAGCTCGGTAAACCGTAGTGCCGCTTTTAGACTCGTTAAATACATCTGCAGATCGTTAATCGGGGGCCTGAATGAAAGGAACATCATGATCAACCGAGACAACCGTAGTCGTAATCTCGTTGCACAGCTAAGTGTACCATCGGGCTGCGTGCGCACGTGTAAGTGGCACTCGTTACTTAATGCTTACTTATGTCGGCGCATTACTCGTTAGTCATTACTCAACCACCCTTGCACATAGTAAAACGCTCTTTGATATTCCACGGATCACGCGAGCCGCCAAAATGAAAATTAAACACACCTCTGCTCTCGTTATAATATTTGAAAAGCTGTCGGTGCTTCCGGAATCGAACAGGATATTTATTAATCGAGTCACGAATTCTCAGCCTTGTTTTTTTAAATATCCTTCACTCTATTCGATATTCTTTTACTGTCACGGGTTTAATTAAACGTTTGGAAAAATGTTCGCTCGATTGAAATTCCATTATCTAAAAAGGAACTAATTTTCATCGTAACCTTCTTTTATTTTTAAATACGATTTGTTTTTATCATACGTTTTGCATAAATTTCGTCAAGGAAGGAGACTGACGTTTCCAGATTATGTACCTGTGTCACGTTCAAACAGTGTAAACGAAACGTGCCAGTATTAAATGAATATACCGTGTTGCATAACGAGCCACGTTGTTTGATAACGATAAAATTCTATCGGGTCATCCTGAAAGTTTCCGCGGTTTTAAGTTGTTTACTTAGCAAAATAGCTTCGCTTCGATAGAAGATTTTTCAAATCAACCTTCGCCGGTTCTTTCGAAGAATTTCGCGTTAAATTTTTCTTGCCAAAAATTTGATTATCGCAAGGAAAGCTGCTCGATCGTGAAAGATTGCCAACAAGTACTAATCGAAAGTCCAACAAGAGAAACTAAATATAGTATTCGCGATATAAATTAGAGAACTGCTAATGAAACTTTCGAAGTAACCGTGTCTCCATTGAAAAACGTGTCGTTTCTTCGAAAAGAGGATTCGCGCGAATCGTGGCGATCACGATCTCTTAAGTCATCCAACGTTTGATTAATTTCCCCCGAAGCAGGCTGGCACGGGTCAATCGTGTAATTTCAGTGCTCGCGCGAAGCATGTAGGACTAATTACGACCATTAACCAAGGCGAATGCTTAACTTGACTGATTAATTAGAAAGCAAGTTTGATCGCTGCCGTGTCGTGGCTGAACCTCTTCGAGATTTCTACGTTTGTATCTGTTCTCGGGGATAATCGATACCGGTACGAGATTCGATATGTTACTCGTTTCGCGAGAAAATCAGTCCTGCTGACTAATCGCGCCTACCTCTGATAGAAAATATCAAACAAAACCTTGTGTTACGGTTCGATAAACAATTATCGTCATTAATCCGACCGGAGCACATCAATGTTCGAGCGAAAACGTATACAAAGTAGCGTATCTCGTGAAATAAATAGTAGCAATAATATTAGATCGTTCGCATTAATTGTCATTAGATGTATCGTAGATCATACGTGTGTGTGTTCGCTATCATTGAATATCGAAGGAGGGAAAAAGAGAGAAAAGAACGTAGCTGAAGCGTAGCGGTTTCCCTCGAGATTTATTGGCGGTGCGCGCAATTTACGCGCGTGTAGCCTGAACTGAAATTATGCAAAACAGTCGTGGCTCGACAAGTGGCATTTTTATCGTGAGGCCCATTATAAAATATCGGCTAAGTGTGCGTACCCACCAGCACAAGCAGTATTAACGACAACCATGTTCCACGTTTGAACAGGATCGGTTTGTTCGCGAGATAGACCCGCGCAAGTCAGCTTTAATAAAGCTGTTAAATAGCCTTTTTACAGGTGTTGTTCGCGCGTCTTCCTCGTGTAATCCTCCTACTCTGTTTTTCTCCTCGATTCATATCATCGTTCTCCATTCCTTCTCTAGCGACACGCGCCCTATTTTTCTTCGTCTTGCATTTTAATCTACCTCCGACGAGATTGCTTTATTTGTATGCAAATGAGCCACTGTTAGAGAAAGAAATCTTGCGAATGAAACTTGACTGATAACGACTCGGAGATACGAAGATGAAATTTGTGTATAAAACAAAATAATCTGATACGTAGTTGGAGAGCCACCTGTTCGAGAGCTAACAATGTTGCTACTTAACAGTGGTATAGCGGTCAACAAAGGGGTTAAGCATCGACGTTCGGAATAATTAAGTTCATTAAACGTCTGTGGTACGGTCGTTCCACCGAGTCGCTTTTGAACGGAGCACGATGAAAAGCTATTGTTTGGCCGTCGACAACGGCGAGCATCTCTCCTGGACAATATTTATCGTGGCAACCTTTGCTCCGTAGCTGCGAGCGAATTTTATTTTCTCGAATTACGAACGACGTACACGATGCCGTTCTAACGCGAGAAGAAATCACACGATTCAACGCGACACGTTACATACGATTCCAACTAACAATTTGCTTTTCTACTTTCCGTCGAATCGTCTTACTTCTTTTATTCGTGCATCCACGGTGAAGGAACCTGTCCAACGAGATGCACTTATCTACCGAACAAGACTCGATAATCGATAATCGATTTATTTTCGATCCCCGGGCATCTCGAATCGCTTCGAATTTTATTTAAATTCTAACTCAGGGATTCTTGAAGATTTATCGAGATGTCGACTGCAACCTTGTAATAGGAAATGTTCAATATCCTACGATAAAGGAAATTCGTAATAATCAATCAATGATTGTACAACCTTCGTATCGTACAACTTGCACTGTTTACATTTGCCTTGACTCTCGTACAATTATTGTCTAAAACCGTACACAAACAGAGATAAGAAGCTGAACGAAATTTCTTGACGTACAAAAGTATCAGGAATGACTCAGCCAAATTGTCGCGGGTAACAACATAGAGAAACTAGAGTTTAGTACAGAAGTCGTGGCACGTGTGAATCGGAGAAAAAGAAAATTCGTTTTCCTCCGACTTCGAGGAACGAGACAACGCGTTGCTCCAAAAGGAGAACGAAGATGAACGGATGGACGTGCATCGGGAACGAAGAATTGAACGCGGAAAGCAACGATGGAAATTTTCCCCTGCGCTCTCTTATCTGCTCGTTAAGTAAACGGTTAATGGTTAGAATACGGTGGACCCTGGCGCGATACAACAGACGTTGTCGCTCTAGTAATTTCTCGGGACCCGAGGCATCATCGTACCAGCTCCACTTGGTTTGCTTTTACTATATGTACGTCAGAGATTTGTGTATCAGAGCCAAGCGACGAAAATACGACGTTGCCTCGATACGAACAGGAACAATTAATGCATCGAACTTTTTTCACATTCTCAATATTTATTTCAACATTACTTCTTTTTTTTTTTTTTAATCACTAAGATTGTCGTTCCTGAATCGGAGCCGGAGGAAAACGAGACGCCAACGACGCACGTTGTTCCGGAAATACACGCCGCAGGGACCAAGTGCACAAAGATATTTCAGATTTCCATCACAACGCGTTTGTAATGCGACGAAAAATTTCATCTGGAACATTGTGAACCGCCACCGTGGATGCACTTTACTCGAATCGTCAGCTTTCGCGCGCTATCTCTCCGCTTTAGTGTTGTTCATGCGCATACGTAAGAGATTTGACACGCGCCCTTCTTATCGGCAAGGAATCGACCTTTCCGCCGCGGCAAACACATCCCACCATTAATATATGTATATCTTTGCCGTTCACCCAACTCTACTCCCGGTCATGTAGATCGAGACGAGTGACAGCGGGGAATTTTTGTCAAAGGAATTTCCTCTCTGCAACTGGCGTCCATCCAATCGTTTACTCTAGCCAATGCCTACTAGAGAGACCGTACTCTATTCGCTCGCGAGTACCGCACAACTATTCCCGCCGGTTCTGTTCTCGTACGAGAAGAAGAGAGAGAGAGACGGAACGTGTCGAGCGACACAGAATATGTACGGTGAAACGGAGCAAGGGAACGGAGAAGAGAAGAAAGCAAAGAAAGAAGAGGAGAGAAGAAAAGATGAGAACGAGTGGGGAGTCTTTACACGGGGCGCACACGGTTCTCTGTTACCTGTGACTCGTGGCCGTGTCCAGCATGGTAATCCAATCCCTTGGATGGGGGGCTACCTCGTCATCCCCGCGGATCTCTCGTTGACCGATCGCGAAAAAGTCGAGGAACTTCACTTAACAGCTATTTTCCCTCCTCTTCGGGGCACTGCTCGTTGGAAATGAAATATCACTCACTCGCGGGACGAGCTGCGACACTCGTGTACAAGAGAACGCGGAAGGACGCCTTTACTGGCGCGAACAAGACGCACTTCGATTTTAGCCGAGTGTCTCGTCGTCGTTCTCTTATTTTTCCCCCGCTTTACTTCGAACGAGTACGTGCACTGCTCGCCGGGGAACGCACGGTCAACACCACTCGACGATTTAATTACGCGCGATACACGATCGACGACGAAACGCGGGCTTGATTTGACGATTATTAAACGCGCCACCACGATAGCAAAACTATCGTTACTTTATAAACGACCGTACGCAAGCAAAGACCGGAATATACTGAGCGAACACATGATTCCGACGGTGCATAGTGACTGCGCATGCCCAGTAGATGGAGCCACCCGAGCGGCGCTTCGATCGAAATCGATCAAGCACGGAAGTCTTCAAAAAGTTCCTAAAGAATTTTCGTTTTTCCTGTAAGAGTAATCCTTAAATTAATGCAAAATCAAGTTCGGAAGCGGGCGGATAGTATTAACAACTTAATTCGACTTCATGGACAATTGTGTGCTGCCTGCAATATTGCTGTCAACCTACTACAGACGCTACCACGAGGTACACTCGTACACCGACAAAATGTGTCAATTTGCTACAATTTATGAACATCATCGAATTTTTATGCCTAATTTCATTTGCAATCTTGTACAATTGTATTCCTGTATTCGTTGTGAAAATAGATTAGGTTAGGATATGTGACAAGTAATTTGTCTCATTCTTAGCGGTAAAGGTTATTTCGCGCCAAATAGATACGTAGTAGGTGGCACTACAACTGTTTTCGCATAATTTCTTTCCATCAATCGAATGAAAATTTGGTCAATTTCAAAATTATGTTATTTCTACAATATCAAGCTTCTATCTAAACTACTTATTACAATCATTAAGAAACGTACTGTTAGTTGTGTAGGATGTTAAGAAAATCTTAGAAAATAGAACTTATAAGAGTCACGTGTTCATGAAAATTTGCTAAGATGGCGGATGTTAGAAAAAGTGTATTGCGTATGGAGGGAAACATGCGTCGCGTGTGTTTTATGATATTCAGTCAGTAGTTAAAGTATCGTAATGTGTCAAATAAATTATATTGTAAACAGCTTCGGGCAATGACAAGAAATATAGAAGTGGATTTCATCATCGGTTCGCTGTCAGAACAAGTTGTGTGGTGTCTGCAACATTGCTGTCAACCTACTGCAGACGCTACCACGAGGTACACCCGTACACCGACAAAATGTGTCAATTTGCTACAATTTATGAACATCATCGAATTTTTATGCCTAATTTCATTTGCAATCTTGTACAATTGTATTCCTGTATTCGTTATGAAAATAGATTAGGTTAGGATATGTGACAAGTAATTTGTCTCATTCTTAGCGGTAAAGATTATTTCGCGCCAAATAGGTACGTAGTAGGTGGCACTGCAACTGTTTTCGCATAATTTTTTTCCATCAATCGAATGAAAATTTGGTCAATTTCAAAATTATGTTATTTCTACAACATCAAGCTTCTATCTAAACTACTTATTATAATCATTAAGAAACGTACTGTTAGTTGTGTAGGATGTTAAGAAAATCTTAGAAAATAGAATTTATAAGAGTCACGTGTCCATAAAATTTGCCAAGATGGCGGATGTTAGAAAAAGTGTATTGCGTTTGGAGGGAAACATGCGTCGCGGGTATTTTATAATATTCGGTTAGTAGCTAAAGTATCGTAATGGGTCGAATAAATTGTATTATAAACAGCTCCAGGCAATAACAAGAAATATAGAAGTAGATTTCATCACCGGTTCGCTGTCAGGACAAGTTGTGTAGTGTCTGCAACATAGCTGTCAACCTACTACAGACGCTACCACGGGGTACACCTGTTCACCGACAAAATGTAAGTCAATTTGCTTTAATTTATGAACATTATCGAATTTTTATGCCTGATTTCATTTGTGTTCTTGTACAATTGTATTCCTGTATTCGTTGTGAAAATAGATTAGGTTAGGATATGTGACAAGTAATTTGTCTCATTCTTAGCGGTAAAGGTTACTTCGCGCCAAATAGATACGTAGTAGGTGGCACTGTAACTGCTTTCGCATAATTTCTTTCCATCAATCGAATGAAAATTTGGTCAATTTCAAAATTATGTTATTTCTACAATATCAAGCTTTTATCTAAACTACTTATTACAATCATTAAGAAACGTACTGTTAGTTGTGTAGGATGTTAAGAAAATCTTAGAAAATAGAATTTATAAGAGTCACGTGTCCATAAAAATTGCCAAGATGGCGGATGTTAGAAAAAATGCATTGCGTTTGGAGGGAAACACAAGCGTCGCGTGTGTTCTACGATATTCAGTCAGTAGCTAAAGTATCGTAATCAGTCGAATAAATTGTGTTATAAACAGCTCCGGGCAATGACAAGAAATACAGAAGTGGATTTCGTCATCGGTTCGCTGTCAGGACAAGTTGTGTGGTGTCTGCAACATCGCTGTCAACCTACTATAGACGCTACCACGAGGTACACCTGCTCACCGACAAAATGTAAGTCAATTTGCTATAATTTATGAACATCAACAAATTTTTATGCCTGATTTCATTTGCATTCTTGTACAATTGTATTCCTGTGTCTGTTGTGAAGGTAGGATATGTGACAGGTTATTTGTCTCATTCTTAGCGGTATAGGTTATTTCGCGCCAAATAGATGTTTGTAATCCAGTCGAAAGATAAATTCTTTTACGTACGTAGGTGGCACTGCAACTGTTCTCGCATGATTTCTTTCCATCAATCGATTAAAATCTTGTCAATTTCAAAATTATGTTATTTCTACATTATCAAGCTTCTATTCAAGCTATTTATTGCAATCATTAAGAAACGTATTTGTTAATTGTGTTGAATGTTAAGAAAATCTTAGAAAATAGAATTTATAAGAGTCACGTGTCCATGAAAATTTGCCAAGATGGCGGATGTTCGAAAAAATGTATCGCGTTTGGAGGGAAACACAAGCGTCGCGTGTGTTCCATGATATTCAGTCAGTATTTAAAGTATTGTAATGGGCCAAATAAATTGTATTGTAAACAGCTTCGGGCAATGACAAGAAATACAGAAGTGGATTTCGTCATCGGTTAGCGGTCGGGATAAATTGAAGATATTTTTAGAAAGCCAAATGTTTCTTGGCTTATCGCGACCACGCGGTTATCACATTCTTCTTGTCGTTCTGCACTTTTACTCGTTTAAAAGTCTTCCTTTATTCCAATGAAATAACGCAGATAAATCAAAGATTAACAGGTGTACAATTTACACTTTTGAAATATTTACGGTTTCTTAAATAATTTCTATTACTTTTGCCCCTTCAATTATCTGGAAATTAATTTAGAAATTTAATAAAATCAGAATTTTATGAAACATTGGTACGCGTATACTCGACGACCTACAAGATACAACGCGTCGAAGGTGCTGTTTACCTTCTAATTATTTGCAAGTCCGTAGATGGGATCTGTTAGATGGGATCTTGTTTACAACTCGAAGTTAAGAGATCTAGTCGTATTTACTTATTTCTACCAACACTTTGGCTTCGTGTTACGTACGGTAACCGCGATTGATAGTGAAAGCTGTTTTATCAGCGAGGAATGCATGCACCTACATACGTTATTTTATCATCTCTTTTTTATTTTTTACCAGAAGCCAAAAAGAAATAGCATCGTTTCGACATCGACTTAATTAACCGTCATAACGTTCGACAAATCACTGTTATACATCCACCCGTGGAAATTTCATCGAACAAATGCACAACCGGCAATAATGCTAACGCACGATTATTCGCGTTTAATGTAGGATGTAATAGCGTGGTAATACGCGAATGCCTTTATTATGCACGTACGTTGCTAATGCACGCGCACCTCGTCGCAAATGCTATGAATGATAATGCAAATCGCGACGTTTCGAAGTGGTAGTCGATAATAAAAGCGAAATCAAAATTCCAAGAATTCAGCTCTCGATCTTTTCATTCCGAGCTGGTGAACTTTCAATTTTCTTTTCTTTTGCTTGAATTATGATTAGGGTGGGTCACAAAGCACGATTAACACTGCATGAAAACATTGGAAAAAATGTGACATCGTGACAAGAAAGAAAAAGTACCGAAAGGAAAGGTTTCTTGCGCGAAAGACCTTCCTTTCTCGGAGCATCCGATCGTTTCCCTATCTCGTTCAATTAATTTCTTGGCCGGTTTCGTTTGTACCTCTCTTCCTCTCGCTATCTTCCTATAAATTTTCCAACGTTCCACCGTCACTTTCTGCGCTCGTGATAAAATTCCTTCTCGTTCCCGTGGAAAGGTGACGGCCGATTTTCGATCGTCCGTTTCCACTTCGAATACCACGGGCGTGATTTGTTTCGCGCGGAACACGCGTTGCCGGAACGCCGCGTCGTCGCGTTCACAGCGGACGAATCGGGGATCGAACTATTGAGAAAAGGAGAAATATGAATTTACTACGGTCTTCGTGTGTACACAACCACAGTTAGCAACAGTGACGTAGACGGCCACGCACAGAAGCGGCGATTGGCTGCTAAAACAGTTGCTATCTTATCTTTTTCCCCGTGAGTGTCAACACTCGTCGCTTCTTGTACAATATGTGTAACGTACACGGAGCGTGTAACTTTTGTACCGTGTAAGAGAATTTCTTCGTTTCCCACCTCATTAGCGGGTCATTTCTCTGCTCGAACGTTACCATCGTTCCGATTCGAGCGAGTTAAAAGTCCATCGATGCCAGTCATCCTTGGCACCTTATCGAAAATAGACCGTTGATCGAATTGTCGATCGCTATCGATCGAATACTTATTGTTAGTTACATTATCGAAGCAGGAATCCATTTCTTTTCGTAAAAAGATTCGTTGTCCCTTGTTATATAATTTTTCTTTTGCTCCTATGGATCGGTCGTGTCGATGTACCAAGGAATTTCGCGATCATAGGGAAGAGATACGTCGGGGAAAAAGGCACGCGAAGCATTCGAAGCAGCCGGTTGGCGAGTCGCAAATCGTGTCGATGGAAATCAGGCTAAATGACAACTAGCGTAGCGTCACGATCGAACGCGTCGAATCGCGACGACGAGTTTATTTTCAGCTCGATCTAAGCTCGCGCATATCTTATGTAAAGTAACCGCGTGCGTGCGTGGACACAACAGGTCGTTTCTGTCGCAGGTGCGTGCGTTACGCTGAGATGCAGCGCGAACTGCATTCGATTTCGATTACGTTTTCTCGATTTCTCGTTAAATCGGAATCGGAATGATTATTTCTTTTCGAATTGTCAGTGAAACTTATCTATCGATTCTATACCTCTCTATTTAATCGCGTCAGAAAGATATCGTTTCCGAACGATCGAGCCACTCCTTGTCATAAACGGTTGACGGCGATGAACCGCACAGATTAACATTCCCGTATCGAGAATTTTTACCGCTCTGTACGCATTGTTCTACGGCGGATGAAGATAATTCCGACTCTATAAATAGAGCCGCGGCTGGCAGAAGGAGAAGCCAATAAAAGTACGCTCTAGAGAGGCCGTGTACGCGTTTCAACTCGAACTCGCTAAACGAACACAACGTCCACATCGAGGCGAGGCGAGGCGACGCGGCGATTAATATTAAAACACGAGGATCGGCTGATACGAGCCTACAGAATTAGCGGGAATTACGACGGGGATGGATTTGCATGAATGAAAAAGCAGCAGGGAAGCTCGAAGCAGAAGCTTCTTCTTTCATTTCGTCTCGTTTCTTTTACTTTTCTTCCACGCTCGTAGCCTCCTCGACCATTAGCAGCAACTGGTTGAGAAGAGTAATTGTACTCGTCACTCGTGTCTGCCGCTAACGACGGATCATTTTGCAACATTGCTCCGAGCCCGAGGATGTTCAACAACATCGTTCTCAGGAGGCAGATACACCATTTGAAAATTGCGGCGCCGCTTGCAACCTGTATAAACAATCGGCCATTACGCACCGTTATACGATAATCGTGCTTGACGTCAAATATTAAATGATTTCGCTGCGTGAATCAGGCTGTTTAAATTGTCCGGCTTGATTGAATGATGGCCGCTCCTCTAAGTTGGCCGACAACCACTTCACCGTAAATAAGATGGTACCCCATTCTGTATATAAGAGTCGCCTCGTTATACAGGGTGCTCGATTTTTCCTTCCATCTTCTACTAAACTACTACCGATTTTTATATTTGCCTTTGCTTGATTCTGCTGGTATAATAGAATTAAAATCATGGATACTTGCATTATCGAATTTGCAAAAACTCGGTTCTGTTCGCAATTTCCTGATGCAAATTTCGGAAAGCATCGTTCGACGTTACAGCGTTGGAGATATAATTGTAAGGGAAACGAAACGATGAATTTTCTCCGCGAAACTTAACGTTCATTTGCTCCGTCTCGTTTGCAAAAGGCTTCGAATAGTAAATTGCGCAATAAATTCAGAAGTCATTCTCGTATTTGCACGAGTGTTTCGCACCGGAGTAGCTCGAACCGAACGCGGTGTATCGCGAACGATCACGTGTACCGAACACGCACGTAACGAGACGTGCAAATTAAAGTAATGAAGAGTTTAGTTAGCCGTCGAGCCACTAACGGCTTTAGTTATAGTTTTCGCGATCGGGATGGCGCGCGACCCCGTACGTTCGTTATAAATAAACGTAACAGTACTGTCACGCGTTTCAAATGGAATGGAACGTTGACGGGTATGCCGGGATCGTTAAACGTTACTTCCCCTTTTGTTATTCCATCCAGACGCTAGGACTTTCTAATCTAATTTATAACACGAATCGACAGACAAACTTGACAGATTGTCAGAACGTGACGCGATTTCGCGACGAGTTTAAAATACGAGCGGATTTTTAACATCCCTGAATGACCGCAACTAGACTTTCTTCGACGCGCTCGGTACTGCTCGTTCGAAACGTTTAAGCTCGATAAAACGTCCCACAAGATCCACGACTGGAAAGACTGATCGGTAAATTTTAATCGGGCATTCGTGTTTGTGTATCGTCCAACACTCTCAGACACGATCGACTTTGATCGATTTTTTCCAATTTTTCACGATGATCTCCTCGCGTTGCCGCGCCGTTCAGCCGTGCACCGCCAGATAAACTGGTCATAGGAGAGAAAGATGCGTTTCTCGGCTGGCGTTCAATTAATTTCTTCGTTGTTAATAATTTAATGAACCTCGGTGCGTTATCACCATCGTTTCATCACGCATCGTGCTCGTGTGCTTTCGTTTCAACCGTCGCGTCGATGAGAGACGTTGCACTTGAACGGGAGAAAAAGAACCATAAGCACCGCAATGATCTTGGACCTTTGTTTCACCCTCGATAGGAAAATAATCGTGGTTCGTTAATGATTTCTTTATTTCGAAGATGGATAATTAAATTTACACATGTTTCCCCGCGGTGTCGCGTTTACGATAGATCGGTTTTCTTAAGCGGAAGATACACATTATCGTGAAATAGTTTCATAACGATTCATAAGTACGTTTCAAATCGTCATTGTTATATATTACTCTATAAATAATTGCCTTAAGTACTAAAAAAAAAAACGCCGGCGGTAAATAGTACGGTTAAATACTATAGGGTAAGTTAGGATATTTCTTGAGGTGGATTAAATTCTTTTTTTTTTCATTTTTCCATTTTTCAATTCGAAGGAAAACCGTGCGTTCGAACTAAAACAAATTGACTAGAGTGACACTTACGTAGAATAAAAAGCACGAGCCTTCTTGATTGTCTAAGCTAATGCGTGGAATATACCGTTACGACGTGCTGCTTTCAGTGCACAAGTTACATATGCTATAAATAATGTATATAAATACGTCTGTTAGGTATCTTGGTTTGTACGTGCGGTGTGCTTTGGTACAACGTGTACTTCGAGCGAGGAGGAAGTCATAATTTAAAATCGTATGCTGCTCACCGGTTAATTGTTCGTTCGTTAATTGACCAATCGCAGTCTGTTGAATTGTTCGATGAAACATCGATTAGAATGGATGTATGAAAAATGATCGTGTTACCCCTTTCGCTATGATAATATCAATTGAAAGATATTATTCCTACGTGTAGTAAATTCTACTTAATTAAGTTTATTCATTATTTCTTCGATCAGTAGCTAGTAACTTTTAGTAGCGAAAGGGTTAAGGAATAAAATCTTGGTGTGATTTCATTCCGATCGAAGGATATTGAACAATGATCGTCCAGATAATAAGATTCCAATCGATACGTCCTACCTTGAATTTCCTTAATCAACGAGGAACCGTGTGAACTGAAAAACCAATCACAAATTCAAAACAATCACACCAGCTAAAATTCTGTTCACTGTTTCTGATGGCCTTCAATCTGCCAGCACCGTATTTTGATCATGATCAGTATGAACACTGTTCTACGATTAAGCTCGAGACGAGCAGGTCGTAGCCGAAATGAACGTATAAAATTCTTCAATAGCCGACGAGAGTTCCTTAATCCAATCGTCCTGTCGGATAATAAATCAGTGGTGCAGTAGCATCCCATCCGTCAATCTCTTCGTTCGACTGTGCCGCTCTCTTCTGACAATTTAAGATCAGAGTACTGTGTCTGGGACTGCTGGGTGCCGAACGACAAGTTGTCTCTGTGATTCCGCTCGATCCAAGACGGAAGTTCTTGGCCCCCGTTCGCGGGAAATACGGCTCGTTTCCGATACCCCAGCTGTTAGGAACCGGTGGATTTCTAACGTCTGGTTGCAGCCGATTTTGAGTCAATACCTTCGGGTCTATCGGTGTTTCTTGCTCCCCCAACTGTTCCACGCACGGACAAGAATTACTGGAAGATCTCCAATTTTCCACGCACGACAGTCTGTTTGCACAAGAGATATTCGGTTTGCACGGACTGTTGTCGGCTATTGCTTCTAATTGGCTGTTCGTTCGGGAACACTTCTGGTCCAGCTGATCGGAGCTGGCGAAACGTAGACGTTTCGGTGATTCACTGGAACACCTGATGAAGGTGGACCTCACTAGGGACTTGTTTTTTAAAGAACTTCGCGGTATCAGAGGATTCGTGCTGCTGTTCTTCCTTTCGTAACCGTTCCGTCGATTTTCCCGCTCTCTGGTTCGTTTTTCCCTCAACATCGGATCCTCGCCTATCAACCAGTAGGTCAGACGTTCGCCTTTTCCTTTCATGGATACCAGGCCTCTTTCCATCACCCTGAATCCACCGAGCTGATCTAGTAGCTGCTTCGTTTCGCTACTGCAGTGAATTTTTAATGCTAGAACGAAAAAGACCGTACGATTTTATTTTTCTGGCTTTTTCGTTTCGCATTCTTTTCCCGAAAGTGCAATACTTACGCGAACCTGTAGATTCCATTCGACTGGCTGTGTTCACGGTGTCGCCAAACAGGCAGTAACGGGGCATTTTTAGACCCACGACACCGGCGCACACGGGCCCTGTACGAGAAGTAAAAGTATGTCAACCGTAACAAGCGTAATCCTAAATCGTATTGTTGTTTTCACGTCGGTTGCTTACCGGAATGTATACCGATTCGAAGTTGCAGCTTATCCAGCGGCCTATGTCGAATGGTAAATTGTTTAATGGCATCCAGCAGGCACAAGGACATACCGGCAATTTCTCCCGCGTGCTGAATACCGTTTCGTATAGGTAGACCGCTTACCTGTTCGAGAAATGGAAGAATATTGATTCCTCAGCGATTAAAACCGTTCGAAATGTATAATAAATCGAATGAAAAATTGTTCGAATAAATGAATAAATGAATAAATCTAACGTACCACCATATAAGCATCTCCGATAGTCTCAACTTTGTACACGTCGTAATTCTCGATGGTGGAATCGAAGCAGGTGTACAAATCGTTGAGAAAGTCCACCACCTGAGAACCCATAATCACAGTGATCGAAATAATAATTGAGTAATTATCGTGGGAAATTATAATGATAAGTTACCTGCAAAGGTGTACTCTCGGCGGACATGGCGGTAAATCCGACGATGTCGCTGAAATATATGGTGACGCAGTCGAAATTTTCAGCTTCGACTTTGTGTCCTCGCTTTAATTGCTCGGCAACGTATCGTGGTAACATTTCATAAAGCAACGCGTCTGAAAGGCGAAGCATAGTTTAATATAATTGAAAGGGAACGCGATAGCGAGGCTGATTAAATTCGTTCAGACTTTCGGAACGTTGCTTGCACGACCTGTTTTTTTCTTCTCCTCCGTCAATTGGTCCGTCCGTTCGTCGACCAGCGCTTCCAGATTATTCGCATATTTCTCCATCATGGCCATCATGTTGTCAAATATGTTTGGCTTCCTGGAAACGAACGTTTCAGTTTAATGGAACTGTTCATTTCTCTCGATCATATTTTTCATTCGTTTTCTAATTAGATCCTGGGTAGAGGTGGTTGGAAAGAGTGTCGTGGTACTTTGAAAATATTATTTAATAATGCTTTTATATCATTATTTTTGATAAGAAACTCACATGCCCTTCCTCAGTGGCCTCAGTTTGTTCCTTATCACCTTGAAGTCCGGACGTGCCTCAGGATCCTCGGCCCAGCACTCTATCAGACACTCCCGCACGAACTGGAAACAGTTCTCCAATTGGCCCAACGGTGGTCTGAGATAATTCAAGGAAAACAGAGTAGCTGACAGGGTGGAAACAAAAGCACATAAAATTTAAGTAACTTCTGCCGTAGACAGATCGTGACTTTAATCGTAATACCTGAACGGCTCGGTGTCGGGTTCATTCGCGATCACCTTCTTCAGTATCTCCGAATCGGATAGTTCCATAATTCCGAATGGACCGTGTCGTCCTTGAAGTTCGTACAATACTATCCCGAAGGAATAAACGTCCCCTCTTTGGTAGTCACGAGCCGTTGGTTCTTGGCTTTTAGAGAATCTCAATAATTCGGGTGCTCGGTACAGCAAACCTAGGAAATTTCATTCAGTTAAATTAGTATCATCAAAGTATTTGAATTACACTATTGGTGAAAAATTTGAGACCAGTGCAGGAAACCGCAATAATAAAGAAGCTTAAAATGTAGGTCTGAAATTTTTGACCGATGGTGTATATTCGTTATATACCATGATATTTCTTCATCACATCGCATGGCTCACATTCAGCGTCCTTTTTAAATTCGTACAGTCCAAAATCAGCCAATTTCACGACCCATCGTGAATCCACCAGGCAATTCGACGTACTTAACGCGCCGTGATACTTAATCACAGACTCGTGCAAATAGATCATACCCTAGAAAACGTTTGAAATTCAGTAGCTTTCAGGATCGACTCTAATGGCACTGTAAGATTCACGAAACAAGCATTCTCGAGCAGAGAAAAATTTCCAAGTAGAAAAGTTTGAAACGTTCTATGGTTAAAGTTTCAACGGAATTTCCGCGAGCGAGTATAAAGTTTACGCGGTCGTACGCGGATTTTTATAGAAAAAATTTTTATTCGAGTTTAGCACATTTTGTTGGACAGGAATATTCTTTTAAAAAACGATATAAATTCTATGATCTAGAGTGTCTTACGTACTCTTATTATATCGCCGACCAAGGACGCCATGAACATGTTATCCAGCTTCATATCTTCGTTCTCCAAAATGTCCTAGGAAAATGAAGGATAAAAAAAAAGAGAATGGAAGAAAATTACGGGAATTTCGGACACGATATTCCGTCTGCTTAATTACAAACTGTCCGTACGGATGATTACCTTGAGACTGCCGCGTGCACAATATTCGACCACGATGCATATGTTCGGTGGGTCGGTACAGGCGCCGATGAAAGCGTTCAAATTATCGTGTCGTAAGTCACGCATCTAGAGAAACGATCCTTTAATTTGGGTGTCGCGAATTGGGTCTCGTGTGTTCTTCGTGCTCACGTGGTACTCACCACTTTCAGCTCCTTTTTCATCTCGCGGGTGATCTCGATCGATTTCTTGCGGACTTTCTTCACCGCGAATATCCGCCCCTTGTAGACGCCAATTTGCGTGTAAATCATAGAATATCGGAAATCAGCGTCTGGATTTGAGCTTAGAGAGACTTGACTGGTCCTCACGATAGGCTGGGTCGTCGTCTGCGAGAGATAAGATTTTCATGGCTTACTTTGGAGACGCGGGTGACGTTTAATCCGTCGAATGAATCATTTTTCGATCAAGAAGGAACTTATCGAATAATCCTCTTTACCCTAGATCGGGAAAAATCAAAGAAGGTTGACTCGTTTCTAAAAACCATTCAGGGAAATGTTATTTTTCTCGATAAGAAGCTTCCTGAATAAAAATTGAATAAAAATTACCGTCGCATCGTTCAACATCCGATAGCGTAATCTCCGAAAGTCTCAGGATCAATTGGGTCGGAGGAAATCGAGGGAAATAGGAAAGGGCAAGACATCGAGGAGAAAAATACGAAGGACGTAGCAACGAAGTCGAGCATTTACCTTGCTATTGCATTTGGTAGGCGCCTCGTTGACTCCAGCCGAATCGTCTTTCTGCTCTTTGATCTGAATGTCTTTGTAGTTCACCTTCCATAATAGCGAGTCCAGTTCCTGTTCGTACTTCCAGTTTCTGTACAGCACCAGGAGTACCGCCGCGATGATCAGTAGAAATCCTCCTGCTATTCCACCCACGATCTCTCCCGTGTGAGCTAAATGATTCAATGAAACTTACAATGTAATTGATTCCGAGTTTACGGTAGATGGTAAGCCGATGGAGACGAGACGAAAGAAATTTCGAATTTTATTATCGTAAGATCGTAAGCAATGATTCGAAAAATTTCGGTCACCAGATGTTCATTTCTGTCTGTCCCTTTTTAATTCTACCCTACCGTTGAAGGTTTCGTGTTGAGGACGGTTAAATCGGTCAGAAGCTCGATCGGCGATCGTTGTTGCGTAATATGTAATCGCGTGTGCGGTTAGCTGGATACGAAATTCGTATTCGATCTCAATTAAGGGAAATGAAAAGGGTGGTAGCGGGAACAAGCGGAAGGTGGTCCCCTTTACGAACATTTACATATGTAAATTTTAAGGTCGACCGGCAAACTTTATGATGTACTTTTCGAACGATCGGTTCGCGCGACGACCGGCCTTAAAGGTACCGGAGAAAGCTGACGAATGGTAATTCGAAGGAGAATGGTCCCTACCCTGTTCGCGTTTCCACGAACCGTGGATAATATTCGACCATCGGGGAAACATTATCTTCAGGCTTTCTAAATTTTATTTTAATCTATCTCGTGTCGTTTAATGGTCGGTGACATCTGTTACAGAGTCGTTAAGATTTATAAAACTAGTTAATTAATTTCTAGGAGTATTCATTTCCTGCGAAAATTAGCATACATTACGAAGAAACGTGTCAGTCATAAGAATATATAAAAACAGTTTTATGAGTAGATGATTAGAAAACCAATCCTTTATTACTTTTAACAAGAAGGGTAAAACATCGGTGTACGTACATTTACATTTCTCGCCGTGGTATCCGCAATGAGGTTCCGCGATAGGTGGCCCATCGCTGACCCACGAAATATCTCTGGTCAATCGGAGTTTCTGTAAGAGAAAGAGAATCAATAAGCAGACTGGAAGGTTCGACCAACTGAAAAAGCAGTTAATGTCTTACTGGCAGGTTCGTGCCGTTCTCTTTCCCCACGAAATACGCTATAGGGTATAAACCGTGTCCTTTTGTCGGCCGATTGTCCAACGCAATCAGAGTGTAATTGCCTTCAGCATCTCCGTTTTCGTCCATATAAACCATGTACCTGAACAGACGATATATCTTCGAATAGCGTAACAGTCGTAACGTACTCTTATTGCGGCCACCTTCAAAAACGTCCTCGTAAATTGCGCAAAGTAACTCCTCGGGCCGTATATTTTCCAGCAATTCCTTTTTGTTTCATCCCGTCATTTTTCTTTCGCTCGTTCGCTCATTGTAATTCATCTTACCTTCGTTACGGGTAATCGTCACTCGTCGAACGATGATTACGAATATTATATAACAGATCCGCGATTGGCATTGAACGCGACGATACGTATCGATCATTCTCGGGAGAAGATTACGTGGGAGCTAGAATCCGAGATCACGGATAGCAGTATGTTCGCTACGTGAAAGCCTTAATTATTTTCTCGGGTCAATTGTAATTCTAGACGCTTGCGTCACTACTACCATCCTCCTCTCTGCTTTGTTTGCCTCGTGTATTTTAAACAGTCTTATCCACGATTAAATATCCTCAAATATTACACGTTTTTATTTCTTTTTATCGAGAGTTTCTTAATGTAAATTACAAATCCCTCGAATTAACGTTAACGATTGACTATATCGGTCAATTTCGCGTGGTAATGGAAGTAAATTAGCATGCAGAACGATTCGATTTTCATTGGATCATTACAATTTCTTACGTACCCCATGGCGCTTCGATAATGAACGCCGTAAAGAGTTGCCACCATTTCTCGACCATTTCGTGGATCACGATTCTCGTCCAGGGCTTTCAGCAACGATCTCTCGTAGAGATGCACCGCGTCATAAAGATACGCCGTTTCTGGCACGATCTGCCTTATAACAGAAAAACGCGATTTTTACGTTTAAAAATTGAATACCCCAACACTTTGCGCGTTTGCAGGCACTATATTTGGTAGAGAAAATGATTTGCAAGCGATTATAATAGTCACCTGAACGATTCCACCGACGTTAGCGAGGGGGTTGCTGAAGTTGAAGGGTGGCTTTTGTCTGTACTCGTTCACTCGGCTGGTGAAATTCTTGGAGTAATTCGGCGCGGTTGCGACCACGCTGAAGTAGCTTTGATACGCTCTCAAAATCGATGAGTTTGTCTTTTTCTGCCATAAACCACGGAAGTACTTGTCCGGTCGTTTCTCATCGTACTGTTCGATGTCGACGCCGACCACCCAGTATTCCCCTGCAGCACGAATTTTCGCGATATGTTTTCTCTCAAACAGCGAGAGCTTAACGAGGAATCTATGGGCTCGTTAAGGGTACTTGCGTAACAGCAAGCTGCTGATTTCTTTTCAATAATCTCATTTCTTTCGTTATTAATTTCGTTACTCTTTAAACTCTCGTTACTAAGATTTGCTGAACGAACGCAAAGTTTGAATAATCCTAGGAATTTTTGAGGTTTCAATTAAGCTACTATTAGCGACACTGCTCTCTGGTATATGTACCTGATTAGATTACAGCAGATTTATACCTTTTTCCAATAGCTTCTTTTCGTCCAAAGCCATCAGCAGACCCATGTGCTCGTAATAATTGCCTAGAATCACGTAAACTGCAACAGAACGGTACACCTTCTAGCCAGTCAACTTCTCAAATCGTCCTTTTGTTATTTTCAATCTTAACTGTTAAAAAAACGGGTCATCGCGATGCTATTTTTAGCGAAACGAACAAACGAAAATAGACAAGGGACATTACAAGCAGTATCTATTCACCGCGCGGAATTCCAACGACCGAAGCATGCGGGTTATCTAGACACGCTCGTACAAACATTGTAACCTCGATGAAATAATGAAAATGCGGGTGGTTTGCTTCCAAATTATCCGACGAATACGATTCATCAAAATAACGGGTTGTACGATTGTTTCATTATTATCGCGCGACTGTCGTAAGTCGAGAAAGCGGGTTACAGAGATTCCGATGGTTTTCATAAAGTCGATAAAAACGTCTAGTAAAATTTATTTACTCACTTCGCGTTTCTCGATACGTCTCGCTGACGTGCTCGTGGAACGGATTGGTCATGTGTGTGACGTGATACGGTTCTTCCCAACAACGAAGAAAGTTTACCGTCACGCCTGCAGCCTCGAACGACGACAAAATCGTCTCCGCGATCGTGGACATCTTATTGAACTCGAACAGCGTAGAATTCATGTACATGAACGTCACCTGAACATTCCGGTATCGAAACGTAAGCTCGGTTCATTGATTTAACGGTTCGTCGAAGGGAAGCTGGGTAACAGAGTTTCGATGTTAACTGTTGTTGAGTGAAAATCAATTAACCCGTTGATTGGAACAGTAGAAACGCACGTGTCTACCATGGCATACGATAATACAAATTAATAACCCTTATTTGATCAAAGTGATTTCCACGATTGGAATAATTGATTTTGAAAAAAATTTTTCCTAAAAACAAACTACACTCTGCGTTATATTTATAATTTGATAACTAAGGTGGTGTTTAAAAAATGAATTTTGTTACTCACTTTGGTCCAATTGAATGCCATCAGCACGGAAACGACCGATTTCGAGATTTGGGTATCCGGTGGTCTGGTTCTGGCGAACGTAGGAAACTCTTTCTTGTTGGAGGACTCGCGATGAGTGCAAAACTGAAAGCATACGAATGCGATTCGCGACCTGAATGCGATCATCCTCGTCTCTTGTATTTCACCTGAACTTAGGGGAGATGCAGAGATAAATGTAAAGATAAATTATATACAACGCGCAACGAGCCGGTTTCAAATTTGCATCGGGTTTCTAGGTTGGTCTATTACTAGGCTGGAAAGCCTAGTACACGTAATGTGCGTGATTAGTGTGTCAGCTGGACTGCTGATATAACGGGCGAGGGAAAACCGATGGAAAAGTGCTACGAAAACTTGGATACCGATTCACTGATACACGAACCGGATTTAATAATGATCATAATGATCAACGGCTTAATTTATATCTGTTTGAGTACATTTAAAGAATGAAAACGTAGATGGGATTTATGCGAACGCAAATCATTACGTTGATTTCTAATAGAGAACCAATTAATTTCACGCCGCTCGATTCGAAAGCTGTATTTCGCAAACGGCAGAATTGCCCGTAATTTTTCGTCGATATGGTTCGACTTGGAGGAGGAAATTATTCAATGATCCGGGTAATTCGCTAGGAAGATAAATGGTTTCTTTTCCTGGTTTCCCTCTGCCGATAGCACAGTCTCCAAGCGAGTTAGATTAAAAGAAATCTTATGAATCACAGAGAGAAATAATAGTCTTCTCATTTATCTGACTTGTCTGTTGTCGATTATAAATACTTCTTTTCGAACCACTTTATCGTGACTAGACGTAAAAGGAATTATTCAATCACGTATCGGACGACATTGAAACATCGAAATTCTGAAATTATTCATCGATCACTTTCCGTTCGAAACAAAAGTAGTTAGCGAAATGAAGAAAAACGTCGAAGGTCTAGCGTAGCCGAACCCTCGGTGACGTTGAACGGGTTAAACGTGTCGTAACCTCAGCTCTGTACATTCGTATTCCTCGGTAGTCGGCGAATAATTTATTTCCTCGGTCGGGTCTGTTGCTGGTGGAAGTTTAAAACGCGCATTGCACCGCCAGATCACGTCGGAACAAGCGAAAAAACGATTGAACGAAACACCGAAGAACGGAGTCCTGGTCGTGCTATCGCATAGATGCACGGTTCTCCGTTTAAATGGAACGAACTGGCGACATTTTTGTTCTAAAATTGATTCCGATTCTCGAGTAGATACGGAACTCGGTTCCATCTCTCGTAAAGTAGCATATGGAAGGGATGAATCTAAGAGGAGACTTAATCAGGGGGCGTAAAGTTTCGGTGTTTCCGGACAATCGATTTCATCGATCCACGTAGACTTAAAGTAGCGGAAGCGCAATAAAAGTTGCTTCAAACTAAAAGCATGCACGCGGTAACCTGACCGAAGTGGGTGTGTTCCCCGAGGTTAGAGTACACATTATGGCGTGGAGGAAAAAGGCTAGCGCTAAGGGGTGGTTTCCTGGATTTCATCCGGCTGCATTCGCTCGTAACGTTGAAGTTCTCCACTAAAGAACAAGAAGAACGTGCATTTTTCTTGTCCGTTCGAAGCATCAGGAGAAAAATGTTTCACTTTATACCAATCGTCGCGGATGTACGATCAATGAATCTGTATCATTCGAAGGGGAAAAGTTTGTTAGAAAATTTAATATTGTAAGTTAACTCACGTAAGATATCATGGGGAGGTTGAAGGCGGCTGCCATTCTACCCTCGTGAACGCAGGTTTCCTGGGGCCCGATATAAGCACTGACGTTCTTCGTCCAGAGATCAGCGGTCATCAGGATGCTGGTCTCCTCCTCGCCATAAGTTTCCGCGACCAGGAAATCGAGCTTGTGTCCGCGTCGACCTAGCTCGCCCGCGTTCACCTAGAAAGTCGAGAAAGCCGAGTAATTCAGCTCGCAGAACGAATTAAATTCAATCTTTTCCCATGGGTCCTATTTAACAATTTGCCGAGGCAACTTTTCGCGAAATTTTGCTTAGAATTTTTGTCACCGAAGACGTACAGATTCTTTGTTCCATTATTAAGGCTAATTTCAGCGATAAGAATGGGAGATTTCTAAATTTAATTACGCTTAATTAACGACTTCCGTGCTAGTTGTGGTCGACCTGATGCATTCGTGATTCTATTACCTCTTCTACGGCGAGTGATATAGCGCCGGATATCCGGTAACCAGGACGCTGATACTCCAAGTCCCCTGGACGTCTCTTCGACCCGGTGATGTAGCCGAGGGTGAAGGTCTCCGCGTCGGTGCCCTTATCACCGAGTAAAACGTGGATCGCCGTTAGTAACAGACAAGCCCTCTCCGCGTTTGCCAGTAGCATGCCCAGTCACGAAACCTTCGCGAAATCAAACATCACGCCATAATTACTTTCTCTTTTTATTATATTGATAATCCCTAAAAGTTCGTTTGAAACACGTTTATGGAACAAGCCGCTCGATCTTCTGTTCGTGTACCGCTGGTCTGGTGCAGTGCTTTTTATTTGCAAGCACGAGCTAATAAAAGCACAAACTTGCGGGCGAACGATATAGGGAAGGTAATGGATGAAAGCGGTAAACTCGACGGGGTTGCAATAAACACCATCAATCTCCTATGGTGTTCAACACTTCCTCTTCCTACGTTTCTCCATCGTTCACCGACCACTATATCCCAGTACGTATCATACTTTCTCGTAAACTATTGTGTACCCGTATGATGGAGCACGCTATCGACAGCTTGCAAACGAGAAAATTCTCTCGAATTGTAATTCGAATTGTAAGTTATACCGGAATAGCGTTCAATCGAATTCGATTGCTCATTTTGATGGAATAATCCAAAGAGGTTCGCGACAAAGGGGTTCATATAGTAATTCATAAGAGTTTACGCGAGTCACTGAATTTTTATTTTTTTATTTTCATAATATTTTGATGAGATTGATTAAGAAATAATGTAAATATACACAAATTGAAGGATTGACGAGCAATCATTCCAAGAGAAGAGATAAATCCATCGATATGGAAAATGATGTCTTCATAGCTGACGCATGAACGAAATACCCTGTCAAGATTTTAATCTTGTTAATTACTATGCGACGTATCGAGATATGTGACGTGTACGACGCCGTGGGTACGTTGTCTGCTTACCGATTCATTTACTCCTTCGAAAGGTGCGCGATATTATCGATCGGTTCGCTACCTGTGACGATTCACCCTCGGCGAAATTAATTTCTCAGTCTCGTATCTTTTTTCGCGTGCACTTAATAAAGGTGTACACCTCGTTAATCACCATGGGGAAACGAAAGTCACGATGGGTTCATTATCGTGTTGAAATTGAGCCCGAGAAACGCTTTTATCTCTTGCGCTCTTGTCAAAAATCTTGCGTTAACCTTTTACACAATCATTCAATTTGAATATCTTCAGCATTATGTTTGTAATTCAATTGAATTTTACATTTTCACCGTCAAACACGGGAAGAAAGTTCATTCTACTGAACGCAGGGGCGACAAATGTCTCTTCCAAGAATACCGCCCGGTCTCTTCTCTTCGACTTATTATTAATAGTGATCTATTTTAATAATACGTCAAAAAACACACGGTAGCCTAGCAGGATTCTAAATAAACTCGGCTGCAATTACGTAAGAAGACGAACGCTGACAAGAGGAAAGGACGTGCTTGCGTCGGGAAAGAAGAAAGGAAAAGCGATGCCTTGAGTCATCGTCATTGATAAATAACGCCGGCTTTACTTCAACGATCTAAACCGAGTGTAAACGATTATTTTCCCATTCGTGGGAACGTCGGTTTGTACGGGATTACGAGTCCCGTTTGCTGATCATCGTTTCTAGAAGACATAGAGCTCTTTTCTGGCTGAAACGTATCTAACAATGAGTTAGGTCGGCATTTTCTCTACATAGTGTCATATAGCTATTTTCATATGAAAGATTAATTTAAAATTATAATTATCCAATAAAAAATTATTTTCACGTAGGAAGTAGAATTTCATTAAAAGTTTAGATCAGATTCTCTGAAGTATACGATTTCACTTTTTAGAAAATAAAGGCAGTAATTATTTCGCGGTAACAAGTACCCGGAACGTACGACACCTACACCAATTAACCGTGAACTAATTCATACAAGAGAGTGCAGTTGCAACGCGTGCGAAGACACGTATGGATCAATTAAATCGGCTACATGACGTCTTATTACGATATCTCAGTTCTCGTTTATCGCAACCCACATTCATTTCTGCCACCGTTACGTATCCCTCGATTAACAAGGAATTATCACCTTTCTTCTATCGCTTGGCCATAATCAAATCTTGCATCGGAATGGAATTATGTCCGTTCATTAAATTTCTTCGAAGCCTGAAGTACGAGCGTTAAATTGAACGTAAAGGCATGTTACGGACCGTGCTACAAGTGCATGCCGTGAGAGTTGCGCGTGAATCTTGCGTAGCCGACTGATTTTCATATGTTATCCACCAGTGTACGTCGTGCATTTTACTTTGTTTATAACCCCGGTTAAATACAGATGTTCTCTGATTCGGTGCGCGCGAAAGAAACTGCGAAATGCTTACGCCGAGTATAAAGAAAAGCGGTATTAAAAGGCTGAAGAAACGGATTTATGGCGGCGTGGAACAGTTGTCGATACTCGTGATTGCTGAAAGCCGGATCTTTGAAGCATTTAAAATTTTTTATTTTATCTTGCATTGCATCGCATCGAGGTGTCGATATATTATTGCTACATACATAACAGAAGAAACATTTAACGACTGAAAAATTAAAAAATTTAACAAGTTAATTGCTCTTTCAAAACAAAAACTCTTCCTGAAAAAAGATGATCCTTTGATCTAAACAACAGAGTATCCAATTCTTTAGCCGTGATAAACCGTGCGGAACAAACGAGATGATTTAGCGGGCGACAGGTGTGTAGCGTGAAAAGACGAACACGGAAATGTATCGTACAGGAAGCCCACACCGGCGACGCAGTATTCACGCCGCGTATTTCCGCTTGTCCCGGATAAATTTCCCGCCCTTATCGCCCACCTCTTTAAATAAGTATTCCTTCCAACGCGTGCTTTATCACGAATAATCGCGCGGTGCCATACGTGTTCCGCGATACCATCGAAACTTCCTCCCGCTGGATTTTCATGAAACGAGTAACGGAAGATCCTACATGTACGATAGTATTCGGCAGTAATCGAATCATTTTTCTTCGCGATTAATATAATTAATGAAAAATCCGAGATTTTTCAAAGTCCCCGGGTCTACTCGACTTTTACGAAGGTTGCAAGAGAAAGCATCCGATGGTTGCACGTTTTTATTGTGATACTATGTTGTACATATTTCCTCGGGGCACCATCGCCTCGGGTATTCTTCCAGCGTGTTACAATTCACCATGCTCTTTCTATCCGCACACATGTGCCACTCTTGCTATTACATATGTGGAACACGTTGTACACACTATATTTAGAAGTTTCTCGATGGCGAACGTTACACGGTGAATCGTGCATAAGGAAAAACGTGGACGTATCGCGAAATCATCGGTGAATCAATCGTGTACGCACGTTGACGAGCACGTTGCCGTCCTTCAACTGGATCAACATTCGTCAATCAACTGGATCAACATTCAGTTTCGACACTGAACTTGTACGTATGCGCTTCCGTGTGTCAACTTACAGGTCTAATGAACCGATAATTAATCCGGTTTCAATATTTTTTAAATTGACGTTGTACTTAGAGCTTCTACATACAGGGTGAAAAGTGATTTTTCTTTTGGAATATATGGAAATAGCAAGTCGTAAGGTTTATGGAATAGCTTGCATGCCGACAATCTCGTTGTGTTGCAGCACGATGGAATCTGACAAGGTCCATCGAGCAGCAGGACCAAGCAATCTCTTTTGTCCGTTTCTTTTTCATAGCAATTTTTTATGAGAATGAGTAACAAAGCTTCCAGGAACGCTGTTGGGTAGCTTCGCGTATATCCCGGTTGGTCTTTGTTTGAAGGAAACTGTACGAATGACGTAAGGAAGAATATGACTATCCTTTTTTCATTTAGTTAGAAAAATATGTATCAAGTTACAAAAATTGCTTGCCATTCAAAATTACCTGTTTATAATCGATATAGCAAATATTACTCAAGAATATCCAGGTGTAAACATACGTACATTCCTCGATATGTCATCATCGCAAACGTTACGTTATCGAAAATAAAAAAAGATAGACATATCTTATTCCAAAGCATACTATTTGAATAAGTACTTTCGTGTACGTTCACTTTGAATCGAACACGCGTGTATGCGATCAGAGGGGGCCGATTCGCGAGGGGATCTCAGCTACACAGCGAAACAGAAAGTGACTCAACGCGATCATGGGGGCCGACTTTCGAAAAAGGTGATCTCGAATCTGTGTCACATGATGTTATATAGAGAATTTTAGGCACGCCTCGGTTTTTCGGTTGCGTCAACGCGAGACAGACAGGGGACCTCGGGCTGTGCGTTCAATTTCTATTCGACGTTCATTTTCTAATTAGTCAACGTAACCGTACGGTGAATGGTCGACGATCAACGGCCGCGCATAATCGTCGGATAAACGCGAAGCTCGTACGAAGAATAATTGATGAGAGAACACTTAAATGCAGCACGATTAACAGTGTCCTTTGTCGAGAACGCATCAATCATCGAAACGTTGACTCGAATGGAAGTCCTGGAGATGATTGGAAAAATCGTGTATCAGGATCGTCGTGTCAAGGTGTCAACGGCGATTGTGTGCAAATCAAAATAGCGCGGTCGTTCATACGTGAGATACATGCTCTATTTTCGTATTATTGGACGTTCCGTTTATTTTCGTAGACAGGCTAGAGGGAAAGTCTTTGGGGACTGGGTCGTTGTTTGTTTCTATTCCAATCGAGAACACCTCGTTGCACGAGGTCTGGTTGTAATTTTCAAAACATCATTCCATCTACTCTTGGAGAAACTTTTGAAGCTGCCCGATTTCTTCTCATCTTGTATCGAAGTGGATTTTCTTGTAATTCTTGCTCGTCTTTTTCTATCATTTTACGCAACACCTTCGCGAAACTCTCTTCAGCGACACGAGAATCATTCGTTTCGAGAAAGAAACGACTCATCAGAGACGATACTTTGTTTTCGCGATAAACGTATAGTTCAAACTTGACGCGTTTCTATTTTATGTTTACGCGCGAGGTATTAAATCACCGTGCACCCACGCAGTTAACGTTGCTTTGACGCGAGTTCAACATCCATCTGACATTCTTTTTCTCGGCTATTGACTCCGGGACTATGATTTCCAACTGTTGTTTCGTTAAATAGCGAAATAGGTACGTAGACATTGTTTCCTCTGCCTGGAGGTACTCCTGAAGGTATGTACTTCTATATGTAGATATACCGAGAATCTGTCCGGAAGGTCGGCGACGCACGGGAATTAACCTGTGAGGTCTGGAACATGATCTTTATCTCGCAAGCAAAATACGATAATTACCGTATAAATTAAATAACATCGACTGAATTTTGCAACCTGAAAAGCGTTTCTTAATACCCGGACACTGGTAGAAAAGCAAAGGTATCGAGAACAGGTATCAACACTCGATTGCCATTAAGCCTAAAGTCGGTTATCCGAAGGCATGAAAAGGATTTCGCCGAAAGCACGACCAGGTGTATCGGGCTTAATGACAAAGATAAAGGGTATCTCAATTAAACCCGATGTGTCACGGTCGAATGAAACTTTCCTTTAGAGAAAAAAGGTGGATCCATCTAGCATCCGAGATACAGTTTTATACTCGTAAACATCCTTTGAGCGTCGAAGTCGGTTAATATACTTTCGAACAAGTCCGCCAAAAGAGACACGGCGGTAAGTGGTATTCTCAACGTCTGACACGTTTCTCGATAAAGTTTAATCGAACGCGTCGATCGCGATCCTCGATTGGCCATCGCTGACAGCAGTTCCTCGAGTTTCGAGATTTTCGAACCGTTCGGTCGTTGAATCGAGCGCGGTTTACGAGTTGTTTCGTTCACGAGACCCTAGCGTGATTTATCGGGCCAAGTTTTCGCCGGCACGTGGCGGCAACACTTGTTCACCGCCAGTCATTCACAACCCGCCACAATCCTTTCCACCTTCACCTTTCATCGTCTTCTTCGATTCGCTTTCTTTTTTATCCTCTGCCTAGTGAACGTTGCCACTCTCTAAACACTGTTCGGCTAGTCACTCGCGTGTCTCCGTTGTTTCGTGGCCTACTTTTAACTCTACTATCTTTCGCGAATTAATTAAAAGTTCGAAGGTTCAGGGCAGCTTCACAGCTCTTCATAATAATATTTTCAAAGATGCGAGCTCCATCGATTCGCTAAACGTCTATCAGTACAAATTTGATAAAAAATAAAAAATACTGTTTTCGAAAAAATATTTAACTTCTCCTGCACCCTTGAAATATCGTGTCTGTACAACATCGGTAGTCACAGAGAGGGAGCTTATTTCTTACCTCGTTCGTTGTATTCCCGTTTAATTACTTTCTTGCCAGACGAGCAGCCTCCGCTCAAGCGTTGTCGAACACCAGCAACTGGACCGACACATGGAATTTCATTCCTAGAAAAGAGCTCGTTGAGAGCTTGTCCATGGAACAACAACGGCAATGGAACAGGCGTCGATCGCGATAACGGTGAAGGAATTAAAGCATTCCTGGTGGCAACGAACTAGAATCTCGTAATTGAAATTCGCGGCTTGCCGCGTGGTCCACGCGATACAGAGCGTGCAAGAATGTAGCCCGTAATCGCGACGGTAAATCAAAGAAATGAAAACCACCGACGCCGACTATATTTTCTTTTTACTTATTCTTTCATCAGTTCTGTATATCTTAGCACGGGAATAAAGAAAATGCTTGAAATTGTAATAACTTGGAAAATGATGGAAACGAAAGTTAGATGAAACTCGCGTGAAAATTGTGGAAAATTGGTAGGATAGGACGATTGAAATCGAAACGATCGTCCCGCCGCGCCGGTGCGACAAAAACGACGTGAAACCGGCGGTCGACAGTGATCGTAGGCGCGCGCGGCCAGACTGACTTCTCTCAGCTCGTCCTCTTTCCCTCGTAGCGTTCGTACGTCGAGCGTCGTCGCCGTCGGCGTCGTCGTTCCATTCACAGTCACCGACGCTACTCCGTGGGCACCGATGCGTTGCTCAGGCGCATGAGCACTAGCCGTGAAAACGTTTCAAAAAGGTGGGACACACAATTAACTCGTATGATTGTTCTCGAATTTCTTTTCTATCCTCTGTCGGATTTGTTGGTAACGAAACGCGTCTACTTTCACTGATCTACGATCATTCAAATTTCTCAATAAATATTCGTACAATTATCGGGTACGAAAGTGCCTTTTGCGGAAGTGCCTCAGGTTAATTCCGTTATCGGAAGGTTCAAAGGGCTGAAGGTTCCCTTGAGAAATACTCGAATATCAGAGGATGGTTAATGTAGAGTAAGATGTAAAATGTATAATAGATGTTCGTAGCAAGTACTTAAGGTAAACGTTCATGCAATAAGAAGATTAGGAAAGTTTGCAAATTTTCCAAGCTCTTAGGGCGTTGAACGCGTGATCAAAGAAATAAAAATTCATACTCCATCAGGATAATAAGAGCTGATGCTTTCGTAAACGTTTCGTTCTTGAAAACGGTACTGACGTTGAGCACCGGGATTTTGTCGAATACAAATAAAACCATGTATTAAAGGGTCGTGGAAATAGAGGAGGTTCGTTCTTGGCCATTTACGAGAAGCAGAGGGTAGGAGGAATAGGATGTTCCCTGGAGAACGCTGTGCGTTCTTTGAAAATAATCTAATCCTATGGAGGATTCTCCCTAGCGTTTGCATCGGCACTTGAAAAAAGCAAAACTTTCAAATCTCGTTTCATGCTACGTCGAGAAATGTACGGATCGATCCTTCGCACACGTTCCACCACGTTTTCCTGGTAAAATGTCTAAAAGGATTTTTCCCTGCGTATTTTGTTATGCATGAACGGTCGCCTTTTATAAGAATTTTCATAAGTCAGGGACAAAGGATTATCGGTATGAAATATTTTAGCCTCGCACGAGGATTACATTGATTCTATTTCCGGAAAAGATTATTACATCTTTTTCCTTATTATTTTCTTTACCGAAGCTTTTCACACTTCTACTTGAACCAACGTCTGATCACCTTTATTTCGCTCTCCTTTTTTATCTTATCTTTATTCAGCATCTTGAATTACGCTACCAGGGACAAAGGAATCTTCTATCTCAGAGATTGTAAGTAAAATATCTTCACTGGCGTGCAACATAATTCAAAAGTTCAAGAAATCTAGCACCGTTGCAACGAGACGTGCGAATATGAAATTATTCGTGCGACAGTTCCCTGTTGCGCCGTTATGTACACTCGATCTCGACAAAAACTAGATAAAACGAGACTGAAAATTTCAAAGTCGAAACAGTCGGTGTACAGGTGATAAATCATTCTATCGATGTACCTCGTTAAACAAAGGCGTTCTGTTTTAAAGAAAAAAAAAAAACAAAAAACAAAAAAAAACCTGAGACGATTGATCGATAGTCCCCGGTGACCAGTGGCACGATAATTTTTCGACAGTCAGTCGATTGTCTGACGAAAAACTTGTCATTGCCGAATTGAAAGGTACCGATCGTATGGTTATGGTTCTCCGGTGTGCATTCGCGATAGATCGACGGCGAAGGGGAAAAGAGGGACACGGTACACGGTATCGAGACTCGGATAACCCTTTTTTTCGCGACGTCCGACGATTACGCATTACGCAAGTGCGTAAGAACGCGCGGAACTCGCGCGTGACTTGCTTTGGAGAAAGGTACTTCTACGTACTGGGACAAAAGCGTGGCTGGTCGCGTCGCGACGCGAGGCAAAACTTGCCATCGAAACGTTTCTTCGAAACCATTGACGTTTTTTTACAGAGAAACATTACAGTCGATTTTCATCGTGAGACCATCAGAATATAATGATCCTTGGTCGAAGAAAAGTATCCGAATAATTAGCATAAAAGACGTCTGTTAATTCGCTCGAGGGGCTCGTGTCTAATTTCTGTCGAAGGTCTCTGTAATTTGGCAAGAAAAAAAAGAATCATTTGAAATTCCCTTCTGGCGTAACGATCTCGTGAAATATCGTTCAGCCTGTGGCGTAACTGAGAAAGAAAAAAAAAAGAAGAAGGATTCAATCTTCCGGAGGGTGTGAAAGTTTCCTCTGGATTAGCTAGAACACGCCTTTTCACGCTCGATCACGAGGCAAATCGTCCGGTTAGCATGGTAATCGGCGTCTCCTCCAGTCACTTAGCTATTCTTCAGAATTTTTCTCTCCTTCGTTGAGCAGCGAAGCGTCTGGCCCTCGGTTTAGTGAATCATTATCGCGCGACCTAGTTTCCCGTGTGCGCGGTTAATTAAATCTTTTTGCCGGGGCTCGTTAATCGAAATCGCGATGGGACCGGCCATTAAACGCTCGTTACGCCTCGTTTTCGTGCCGATAACGCGGTCGAATATGTGGAAAAAAAGAGGAAATTCCGTGTAATTGCTGTCCTCGTGTCCGGACAATGGGATCTCGTTACAACGGCGACAATACGACCACCATAGCGACGCTTTCGTCTTCGTACACCGATTGTTTGTTTTTCCCCTCGTAATTAAGGCGGCTTCTATCCTCTTATTTCTTTTGCCTTTTAGTGCACTTTAATGCCCGTCTCTCTTTACTTTTGCCATCACGAGATCTTCTTTGTTCCACCATTATTCTTTTCTCTGTTTACTTTATAATTGAAGCGACCAGGAAACGATCAATCCTGTCACACGGTACCATCAATCTTTAATTTGTTTTTTGATTTTATTTACGGAACGCAGACACGTACGGAACATTCATCATTTTTATTATTACGACTATCGTTGTTCCGTCGTATTGATCCATATTTCATCAAAATCATACAGATGAGATTCATGAAAACAAATAAAGATGTAAATAAATCTAGAATAACAATAATGAGCTCGGTCATAAATCATTGTAAAAGACGACACGGATGACGTGAAAGGCTATCGATCATCGAATTTCGTACATCGCGTAGATCGATTGGCAACCTTCGCAATGAAGTTGTTAACTGTGAAAAAAATAATGAGGGACAAACTCTATCCAGAAGCGTTCTCACGTAAAAATACTCGCGTTAATTTCGTTGCACGCGTTAATGCACCACCCGAATTGGCTTGCTTTCCGATCGCTCGTAATTGCACCGATTATCCGTGGCGAGCGTGCATGTCCAGCCATTTTGACCATAAATTACTCCTGATCACCGATACATACCACTCTGCTCTCTGTATCGGCGAAGAAATAAGAGGAATTGTGTCGTGGGGAATACGTGACCGTCGAAAAGTTTGGCCCTTTTTACCGATACTTTCTCGTCATTTACAACTGTTCGCAGCCTCCGTTGGCGAACGTCCAACTCGCTTGCTTTTATCATCCAGATACGAAATATGAAACTGCTCTTTTCTCGGATCGGATCGGTAGCCGGTATTCCTGGGGAAGTTTCGTGGTAAATATGTCCATAGAGTACGGGGAAAAGCACATTACGGTATTGCGTTCTTTCCTGTTTTCCAAACGAGAGACAGGCAAATCAATTGCACAGAACGAACATCGCTACCGCGCTTATGCTTTGGCTCAAATTGAACAGGAAAACGTTCTGTTTTACATAAGGGATGAAATTAGGGGAAGTTCGAATCTTGTGGTAGTCATAGAATTTTAGAAAATAAGTATGCAAAATTTGGCCCAAATCGGTGGAAGGGTTTAAGTGTTAATTAGGTATACACGTTCTGGTTTGCATAAGGGATGAAATCAGAGGGTGAGGGTGTAGTTTCCAGGTTTCATAGAATTTTAATAGATTTATTCTAAAAATGGTTCGGATGTCTATCGAGCATGTATAAAAAGAAATTCTATTTTATATAAATAGATTACACATAGTATATTGATTTTATTGATTTCATCGTAGCTGAAAAAGCGCTTGAATGACACCTGTTGCTCCCGTATGTCTGAAGTAAAATTTCGTTGGCCACGATTACCCAGTTTTCGTGTCCATTTTTTTCAATATCGCTGCCAATAATTCAGCCGGATAATTGTAACCTGCCGGCGATCACCGTAAACGATGTTGTACGAAAATTACGACCGTATATTGATAATAATTTTTCGGCTGTATTATAACCTGGCAATACATTTCGTCTTACACGTCTCGTCCCTTTCGCATTTCTGCTCACGTATACCTATGGTAGGTACGCTCGATCGTGGTCGTTCGACGCGTGTTACACGGATAAAACGCTCCGAGCCTTATCACGGTTGTATATCTCCTCGGATCTCCTGTTCGCGTAGTTTCAAAAGTTCTTTAATAAGGGCCACGTTCGGCTGGCTGATGGTGAGCTGAAAACTTTCACCCGTTTTGCCATTCGACCTTTCGCCTCGAGCGTCTCTATATTTTTCCGCGAAGAAACGTTTCTTCCTGAAACGGAAGCCGACGAGGAGCTTGATTAAAATTTACTTTATCGCTCTGCTTTCATTTTCTTGCGTTTCAATTTAAACGAATGCCTCTACGAATGGTCGCGAAGTTTTGCTCCAATTATTTCAGAAATCTTACCCTCGCTGAAAGGAACTTGGAAGTTATCATTTGACGACGTTATTTCATTTTTATCGGTGTTCGTAACAGCTTGCTATTTAATACACTGACTACTTTGGGGGATATAAAGAAGTTGAAAGTTTCAATTCGAAAATTGATTATCTGTATCAATTGTAAGAAGGGGATAATCGTTTTCGAGCAAACTAAACGTCTCTGCAATTCCAAAGGGGTTCAAACAGAGATGTAATCGTATCCTTCGCAAACAATTGATCGTTCTGGAATCGATGAACTCGATGCTGTAATTTAGCGACAACCCTACCGACTACTGGTAATGCTATTTGCTAACGATTTGTAATTAGTGGCGGATAAGGATTAACTCACAATGGCGATACGCGGTTCGGAAAATCGATCGAAATGGGCGATTGTTCAAAGGATAGGTCGGGTTTAATTAGCCCGTGGTAACAATTTCGTTTGCAATTGATTTCACTACGAAATTAATGTCCCAAATATATGATAACATTACTACAAATTATTAAACATCTTTGAAAATGTTACAAAAAAATGATGCATTGTTTAAAGAAAAGATATTTGAGTATATGTAATTGCTGAATTGTTTGCATTTTATGACAATGTAAATTAAAAAAATTTAATAGAAGTATGAATTAAAATGAAATTCGATATTGTATTTGATAAAGGATGAAATATTTTGTTTCTTGAAAAAAGTAATAAAAAATGGAATATTTGCGTTATTGATGCAATGGTAGTCTCTGATAAATTGATAATAGCAGAATGTTTACGAGCCGAAAGAAAGATGGCGCCACGAGCCCCGTATTGAATCAGCTTCAATGCTCTTGAAGCCGTAAGACTCGACGAGCAGTTTTATGAGAATTTTTGTTAAAAAATTAGCAGGTTGGAAATGAAATAATTCAGTTTCAATTTTAAAGCTTTCAACGCACTATCTACTTTTATAATACAATAGCAATGGCGTTCAAAACTTGTCTTTCCATATCTTTTATTAATTATTCGATCGCATTAACATGAGAGGCGTTACAAGACTAATAGGCAATAATGTCGGTAATGAATCATGCCAAAAATTAAATCGACTCAATAATAACACAAAAAGTGCAGTTAAAAGTATTCACAAACGTTTCGAACGAACAGAGACATTAATTACAGTGACACCTCGTTAAGATTTCTTTCTTCGAACGAACTAGTAATGAGTATTACTTCGTCTCGGTTGGCCGAACCGAACAATATTACAAGATCTTTATAAACGCCAGTCGGACAGAACAATTAATTGAGAATCGTCGTGGTTGAGAGCGAGAGAAAAGTCACCGTGTTCGTGTTCGCATAACTTCATTAACCGTATTCCTTATCTTGTCATCTGAACGATAAATATGTTCCTGCCCCTTTATACAATGTCTCTGTACGATTGCCATTTATCGTTTAATATTTGTAGGGCGAACTGAAGAATCATTGAACAACGATTGCCAGGAAAATTGTGATAAACGTCAGTTTGCGTAATATCGAATAATTTTGTGTTATTAACGCGAGCTGACGGGAAATCGATGGATGGGAATAATAATTAACGCATGAACTGTTAAGGATGGTTATTGGTGGCTGAAATTGTAATGTAATACGATATTGGCTTCATTTGAATAAATTAATTGAGAGATAGCAAGGTGTGCTGAATACTTTTTGGATGCACTGTAGCTGTTATGTAAATTTGTTGCCTTACTTGATAGTGATAGAAAGTGGTCAATAAAAGAAGAGACTTTTGGCGAGGAAATTTTGTGAAAGACAGGATATTGAAAGTTTTAATCATCCTAGAGAAAAAATAAAGAAATCTAACAAAGGTTAGGCATTACTTGAACATTTTCTCTTTGCATTTTATTCGGCTCGTAACACGGGGGACGAAATCAGGAGAAGAGGATGGGGTGTCCAAGTATTTTTCCCTTTTTCTAATAGAGAAATTTGTAATTACGTTACAGAGGGGTAAAGCAAGGGGCACGATTAAAGAATCGAGATTGGAAGCACGGTGGTGGGAAATTAGCACGGTCAAGATGAGACTCGTTAATTAATTATGCGTATCTTCTTCTTTCCTTTTCGATTCCATCCGGTGCTATCCACCCACCACCCACCACCCTCCCTTGGAACAGAGCGGTGTGCGGTGGGTAATTGGAAATCAATACTCGTATTCAACCCTCGAAACATTCTTGCCTTGACGAAAAAGCGATCGTGACCCCTCTTTAACCCCTCGAAGAAGCTGCCTCCCGTTCGAGAAGGTGAATCTTGACTTAAGTACCAGCCCTCGTTATCTTTTCTTGCAAAACGATTTATTCGATTTACCCTGTTTCGCACACCCCATTTTGTGGTTTCCCTTTCAGGGGAATAAAAGGAAATCGGTCCTTAACAATTAATTTTTTATCCATGCTTGTTTTTCGAAATTTCTCCTTTTAACCCTTCGTGGTACAGAATACAAGGGATATTTTAGCACTATTATAAACGATACATATATCAAAATAAAGAGTGGTATATTTTCGATTTCGTCGACCATTTCTCTCAACCTCTCATCTTGTATAGCTTTTTCACCCTTCGTGGAAACCTTTAAACGCTTCTTTCTTTTTGGGAGCTGACGCTTTTTAAGAAGCTTATGGACCAATTTTACGTGACTGGATTTCCTGGATCGTCCAATGCCGTTCGTTTATTGCCCGTTCTTCGATAAGGGAGGTTCGATCGGGGGACGAAAACCTGTGCTCGCATATTTTTTTACGATCTCTCGTTTTTATTGTGTCCAAAAGAAATTTACGCCGTAAAAAATTAATATGAATAAGTTCCACGGATTTTTAAAAGCTCTCCACTTTATGGTCCATTACTTTCTTTCCTTTACGAGCCACGTTTTCCCTCTCAGCCGAACCTGCTTTCTTTATCGTTCAAGCTTTCCAGGCTGTTGTACACGTGCGATCTAACACACCCTTTTTCTTTAATCCTTTGCAATTCAATGTTGAACCTGATTCGATAGTGTTTCCCTTTATTTTATATTCAGACCAAACATTGTTCAACTTCATCTATTGTAATTGATCGGGGTTGTTTATTTTGGTCGACCATCCGGTTTACATGTTTCGATCAGGAAATGAAACCAACACCGCTGCAGCGGGTTTGTTAGCTGTAAATTCTGTAAACAGCTTACCAAATTGATAGTATTTGTTCCGTAGATAATTTGATTGAAATCGATGAACGAACAGTATAGGCACCAATTTGAAATTTAATTTTAATCGACGCCTCGAATGTGCCGGATTTCAAGCTCGATCTGTTTTACTAGAGAAACACGATTTTCAAGATGTTAAGAAGCATCCGTCGACACGTCGAATCGTGTCGGATCGAGTGGCAGTCGATTCGAATCGAAGTGAAATTCGACGTTGTTCGAATGCACGCCGCGTCCCGACGCGACGTCCTCGATCGAAAGTCGATCCGTTTCGCTGTCAGGCTGATTCTCTGTCTCACATCGGCTAGTAGAATGAAAATCATGACTCGAAGAGTGTCGTCACGTCGCTGGGAATCTCTGCCGCCTAATGACGATAGATTACGCAGCGATATGTGTGCAGACCGATGCATTCGATCGCCGATAGAAACTGCTCGACGTGTTAATCCGAACGTGAATTGCATTCGCTGTTTATCGTGTTCGACGCATATCAATTTGCGCCCCTATTATTGATTTGTAAACCGTGCTGCTTTATTTGCTCTTCTCTCCCGCTGTTACCAATGTGCCAGTAATTGAAAGAGAATCACCCGATGATGATCCACTTTAGAGTTCTTCTAATGCAGTGAAGTTGCAAAATTTGTCAAAGTGTTGAGAATAATTATTTTGCAATCGAATACCTTTAGTTTATTATTTTGAAAGATTACAAATTTGGTAATTTCTTTCTATCCGTTTTACGTTAAATAATATTTTTGCAGCAAATGCATCGAAACTTGATTAGTGTGATTGCAAAAAGTGTGATTCTCGTTGATACACACGCGACAATCACCGGGTTTACTTGTGTTTCATCGCTTCTTTACGAGGATCATCGTTCTTCGACATTGTCTCTCATTGAATTATGCATATAAACCGGAATTTACCATCAAACTCCATCAAACTCACTGGTCGTTTAATTCGACGCGTTTCGAGCAGCTGCAAGTTTGTTATTTCGCAACGTGTTGGATATTGCAGCCAGTCAGTGTACATACACGTATATTTATATTTGCCAAGCTTTTAAGGAAAATTTCTACAAACTTTTGCTTATGACTTTAATCGTTTTTACTACAGTTTCAAGGAAAATTGAGTGGCCAATATGTACTTATCGCTTTTTTCGTTCCGTAGAAAAAAAAAGAAATTGAGTAATAATTTTAATTATCTTTTGCGAAAATTTTTAGTTAAATTGTCGCGTTAAGAAACATTTATTGCATGAAACAATTTTGATTTTATCAAATGGAATAATTTCATTGGGGAGGGAAGCAGGTCAAACGAAGGGAAGAAGAGAAAGTTTAATTGCCCGAAGAACTTGTGGTTGGTCTTCGATTTAATTATGTTTCTGATCGTGAAAAGGGGAAAAGGAAGCGTTATCTTTTTCGAAACTCCAATTGGCGAGAATTTAATTAGAAACATTTCCATAAATTATTAACAGAATTGTTTCTTCTTCTCTTCTGCTGTTTCCTCGCAAGCAGCTTTCTACTTATAACGTCATTTGAATATCGAAGAAACGAAACAATTGCGTTTCCTCCGGACTGTATTACAGTTTACATAAATATAAGCGGTATGAAAGTACTCGAGGAATATTGCTGCTCCACGGGAACTCCACGTTTTATGGGTAGCGAGAAGAAGAACGAGGTCGAATGAAAATGATGAATATTTCTCACCCGATACTTGTTTCACTGCGAAGAAAAGCACGCTGTTCGTTTATGTTTGCAATTTCGTATTCTATCTTGTCTGTATTCATTTGGCCAGTTGCAATCATTTTGGAATACAAACAAGGAAATGATTTAACCTGTTGAATAAATAATCTCATAGTTTAACACATTTTTCCCTGGTGACCAGCATCGCAAATTCAACAGAACGAAATTTTAAGTGATAATATTACTCCTAATTAGCAACTATACAGCTCAAGTTAATACAATAAAAGAGTTATCGTCCTCGAACGAGAACAATCAGCTGAAATGGGTTAATGGCATCAAATTGATTATGCAACAGGTTCATTTGGATTATATCCAATGGTCGAAGATAATTAAACTTATATGCATCCTTGATTGTTAGGAAACTAACTTTCCTCGTTCATCCATGTTAATATCCAATATCTGTGTTAGCCAATTCAATCTTGCATAGTACACGATTCTAATCAGATAAACTTACATCTAATTTACATTATACAAGATACTCACCTGAAGGAGAGAAAATATTTTGGCGAACTGAAGACAGGAATTTTAATTAAGAAATTAAGGAATTTGGTAATTTTTGTTTTTTAAATATAAGAAATTCTTAGTGGTTGAAGGAACGAATTAGAACAAGTCGGGATAAACTTTGTAATTGTGTACCACATCATGGTTAATCGTAATTTACACATGAAATTAAGATGGACTCGCACAGGGAACATCGAGATGTATTTACAATCCTTTATATTAAATCGGATTTCTGGCGAACAATCGCAATTATCCTCTTCGTTATCCTCGATTTCATCTTCTTTATATTCTAAAACATCGCTGAGTAACTTGGTTCTGTGTTTTCATTGATACAGATAAAGACGAATGATTCGTACCTAAATGCTGTACAAGATATAATCAACTTACAATTATATTCTTTCGTTTAAACACGTGCCTCGTGCACGTGTGTACACTTGTTGCACATATACACAATTCATCGACTTATTAATAACGTATAATTAATGTACATTTCTTACTCGTTCTGATTTCACAAACAAAGGGTTTTCTCGAGAAGATAGAAACCATTGGGCAATTTCGATGAAGATGACGTTAGTAGTTACAATACAGGTTTATCAATAGGCATTTAAAGTCCTCTAAACAAATCACTCGTATCCATTTCACACACACACACACACATTTTACAAATTTTCGCAGAGACTAGCAAATTTTTTAATCTTAACTTCACACTATTTATTCAATACAGTGAAACGAAAGTAAGATAATGTCGATACGAACGGGAATTAACTGTGGATCTTTACCATCTTAAAATTTTAGGATTCCAAAATTCCTGAAGTTTTATTTATTGACCGACTTGTAACTATAGCAGTCGCTACTTTGTGTAACCTTCCAAGACGTTTGAAGAAACAACTTAATTTCTTTAATGGATCTATCTATATCATCTCCTGGTACAAAAATTCATTACTTGTACCGTATACATCGAAACGGAACCCTCGTACGAAATAAGAGGAATTGTGGAAGTAGGAATGATAATGGACTGCCGGTGTAGTCGGTTAGGAACGTCAAGAGACGTGGGTTCAATTTCCGGTGTCCCTGTCCCTTATTCTTCAAGGATTGCTGCGTGTACTCTATACTCTATACAATATATCTTGGAAGGTATAGAAAATAAATTCGTTATTTTGCTTTTACGATTGGATATGAAGAATTGTGAAATTGATCAACCAGAATTGGAGATCTTAACCCGCGTTGAACATCCGTATCCGCAGTTTGCCTGAAAACCTACGAGTGTGAACTCGAGTTGGCAGAAACGGAAGCCATGGAATTTCTGGAATTTCGCTGCCGGTTCATTCGCATTCCTTCGAGGGAATTCCGAGGGTTGCTCGTGCGAGGAATGTGGTTAGAATTCGGAGAGAAACGCAACGTAAGTTCCGGTATCGGTTCGATGATTCGTTCTCGCTAAACACGCTCTACTGCATCCTATCACAAATTAATTATGCACCGATTCCCATTAGGATTGATCGTTTAATTGGTTCGCGCGATACCTTCTGCTCGAATCCGCTCTCAGACATTCCGGATACGCTACGTTAAGATTAAAATGATGAATTGTAGTAAAGAAAATATTGCAATCCCTTTGTCGCGTGATTACTAATCGATGAATATGAGCATCGATATTGTTCGCAAATTTAACGAGAAACAATGCAATACTATTAGGACAACACGATCTCGTTACACGTTACATCGTCGAACGGAGAGGGTTTAACGGATCAACATCGATGTCGTTCGTTGAATGGACGATGAGAGCTCGGTCACACGATAATTGTCGTGTATTCGACGATTTTCTGTACACGTAACTCGTGATTAAACGACGCTTGTATCAATTTATCCAGACAAATTATGATGAATCGCAACGTCGATGATCGCGTTTCACAGGGTTCCAGAGTTCATTCTGTTCCCTATTAAACGGTGTGTAATCGTCTCGAATATATTTTTTTGGTCTTTAAAACTGAAAATTTTTCTAAATTCATCTTCTAAGACGAATGACGAAATTGTTTTTCGAGCAATAGAAAAGAGACCACCCTGTCACCGATTAATAACAATGATTGTAGGGACTTAAGGGATGATCGATGAGCAAGAATTAAACGGACTCGGTAAATGAAATCGGATAAAGCGGTTAACGCTCCATTAGCAAGTTCTGAATGCAGTTCGCATTAGTCAGTTCCGGGACAGCTGAAACCACTGACAAGGAAAGTTCGATTCAGTAGTCGGGACAAATTTTGGGCAAATAGTCGTGGCAATTGGAGAGCACCTGTACCCTCTATTTCCATAATCTGTCTCTAGAATTTGATCAACAAAATACATAAGAAATTTTCCTTGATTTTACTGTACAGCAACTGTTCAAACAGAAATCCACGGCGGAAAAGATTAAACCTACTGTAGCAGAAGAAAATCGATTTCCTCAATTCCGTGGAGGATTTCTCCTATACTCTAACGAAAGAACTTTATCGTAGAATGTTTAACCAAACACGCGATATATGTCTGTTAGTTATTTTTATAGAATCAGCTTTTCCCCATTTTCGTCACTCGGCAGGCGAGATCTGATCGAGTCGTTCCATTCAGGAACTTCCCCTTTATTCCTGGAATAAAAGCAGGCCGTAATCAGAAGACGAGCTTGATTATTCCGCAATCAGCATATGTATGATCCGAATCTCATTTGCTCGGTAATCGAATTTCGAAGAAAGGGCCGATAACTTTCTCCGGATTAGCCGAACGAATCGTTTCGCTTGGTTATTCATTCACGCTGCTATCCGGTGATCAATGCCGTTACGGAGGGAAAGAAAATCGATGAATCTTACCTCAGAAAATATCTCCCTTTCGGTGTAAAAATAATCGTCAAACTCGTTTGATTTCAATAATTTTACTGTACTGATTGAATCGCGGTAATCGCAAAAATATTAATCAAAGTTTAAGTGCTAAAATTGAAATCAAATTGAGAACTATGAAACAATAATTCCGCTTCTTGAAGAATCTACCTTCGAAGAGTAAAGATTGCCTTTCGAAGTAGTTTCAGGAACTTCTGATTTCAATATTCCAGGAAAACCAGAAGGATTTATTTATTTGCCAATCGAGTTACTTGCAAGCTCGAGTTGTCCAGCAAATGCGTTCGCGATATATCTTGCTATTTGCACATATGTTCCATGCTATTCGCCTTGTTCAGGAAAGTCGGTCATGTTCGACCAGTTTGCCCAACACTCGACACAGCACGGTCGTTCACGTGACCGTGGATACGATTTCGCGTCCTTCCGGTTCTCGAAATTCTACTGGAAACAAGTCCTGTGTAGTCCGAACGGAAACTCGTCCCAAGAAACAGCGAGACCGAGTCAGAATTGAAAATTTTTCCAGTTTGCTGCAGACTCGTGTTTCTTTCACGATCAATACCCCATAAATTTTATTCTTCCCCAATTGAAAGAAGATTATTCGAATGGTATATTTTTGGAATCGCTCGGAAGATTGATACAGATGTCTGGGAAATTTCTTGGGCGAAAGGTTCTCGAAAGCATCGACGATCGCTCGAAATACGTGGCTCCTTCCTCCGAAGGGTGAACCATTCCATTCGTCTATTTTTATCTTTCATCGAATCTCTTCGAAAGATTAACCCCGTAAAGATGTATCTTTCAAGATTATATTCACTTGAAATTTATGATACTTAAAATTGTATACAATTCCAAGCACCTTTACTTCGGTATTTTTCTTCGTTTTGTAAACAGAAATAGAGTACCCAGTGGTTTTCTGCCTTGGTTTCTTTTTCACGTTTCTCATTCGCTATTGTTCCGTGGCGAGCTTTTAAGGGATCTTTGATGAAAGAAACAGAAATGATCGCCGATCCGTACGTGGGGCAGTGTTGATTGCGAATTAATCACTGGTGAACCGTGGCAAGCTACAGTTCATCTTTGTTTTTGTGAATGAAAATGGAACACCTAGCCATTTTTTTCGCTACGATTAATCAACGAACCTTTCAATGAAACGTGCCAACATTAATCGTGTCAACGTTATTAATGATTTTTTAATTAATTTTTAGATATGTATGTCCAGGTACAAGGTGTTATGTTTTTGTGTTTTCTTGTTGAAAAATATCGCGTCCAAATTGTGAAAAGGAAAATATGGACGAACACGTGTCGGTAAACACATAATACCGGTGAAATGGAGGTCGTTGAAAGCTCCTTTGATAAATCGAAGCAGACCCTTTTCTCCTTTCTGTCGGCAAAGTGTTCTCAGTTGATTTCACGAAACGTATTGATGTCCAAACAATGTCATTATTAAAAGCATATAGAAAGGTAACATAGAAAGGGTTACATCACTCGCAATTTGATCTAGAAGACAAATTATCTGTTGATTAAAGTCTGTTTTCTTTTTAACTACTCCAAGGCAGCAAGAGAACATTACGACGATCTTCTCTTGAAAACGAAAATAAACCATCAATATCAATCGCGTGAAAGAAAAAGAAACGATTTTAAACTGATCCTGGCGTGGGTGTTCGCCTTAGCTTCCAATTTTATACATTCGCTTGTACAATTAAGTGACTGCCAAGCGTTAGACGAAATCGGATTTTCGTTTAATAAACTTTCTGGTAATCGACGATACTTTCGGCGTAACTTGACAATAAATTCCGATTTCGTAGCCAGTTAATCTGGCTTAGAGAATCTCGAAGCAGACTTACGGACTTTTAATATCAAACTTGACTTCGCTGCCGAGAATTACGATCCACCTTTATATCAACAGGATATTTAATCGCAGCCACGTGAAGATTGAATCCTACCGAGACCGTGAGCAACCTGTTCTAGAGCGGATCTTTGAGATTACATGGAAATTGCGTGAAAATCTTTAGGGAAACGCCTCGTATGAACAGTTTCCTTACAGTAAACATTCTGTAAATATTACATGCTTAGTATGGAGTCTGCTTCTCCCTCGTTGCTCGTTTCAAAATTCACAAAATATTGTTTATAACTATCTGTTTATGGTAGTAAACGTATGTAGAGTACCGAGCCTGGTAGACTACCCTAACGAAAATTCTTTCACCCCTTCACCTTTCAAGTATTCAATAAAATTATTCATAATTGGAAAGATAAGTTTATCGCTTGTAAAACGCGTGACGCGTATCTCCTTGCAAACGAGACTTTGTTTTAATCTCGAAAAGGAATTATACGATCGTTTCCTGTCTCGCTTTCACCGGTATTAAAAAGCGTCTCGATTAAACGTTCCGCTTTCGTAGTCTGCAACGTAACGTTGCATCGTGAGCATTAAAATTTAAATGCGACTGCAGTTTCGTTTAACAAAATTAAATAGGAATTCCACGCTAGCCGCTGCTTAACGACCGTAACGACCAACGTGTAGCCAAGGTTGCGCCTCCTTTCGCCTTGTTTTAACAAACCACCTCTTCCTCACCGTTAAGGGGGCTCCTGTAATCTAATTAACTCGTTACGATCAAATACCATCGATACATCGATACGCGTCACCTGGCTGATGCGATTCGCGACACTCGATTCGGTATTTACCCGGTCGATCAAGCAGACGATCGTTTAAACAGCTAACGATGGAAATTCTCAATATTTTTCTAATAGAAATTATATTTCCTGCGAATAGTATACTTTTTTTCTAGAGAAAGGATGAATGCGAAATGGAACGATTGGAAGAATCGAGGGAAACAAAACGAAGCGGAGAAATAAGTTTTCCGCGGCGATAAAATTTCCATGTTCGTTTGATTGCTCGATTCACACCTCTGTAGCGAGTACGCGTTAATTGCTCGTACGTGATTAACGTTAATTCGTCAGTCAGATTGTACATATGTTTCTCCGCGCACACGCTCGCTGTTTCCCTCGTCGAACACTTATTATATCTCTTCTCTCTACCGCGGAAATTTTATTCGGAAATTCAGTATTGAACGTTTCATCCCGCGCTTCCTTTGGGATACGCTACTCTCATCGTCAGGTTTATACAGCTTTTTAATATGCGCTCCTGTTTTAATTGGACGGCCTCGTTGAAAGAGAATATGTAATTGAGTTTTAGAAAATAGCAAGCCGTCGAAGGTGCATTTTCAATGCAACAACAGAATGTCAGAGTCTTGTAATAAAAAAGAAGTTTAATTTTCCTTCTCGAGTACTAGTTGTTGCACGAAGCGTTTTCATGTTTTTCCAAGTGTTTCATTAACTGTGTAATTTTTACTATGTAATTGTTTGGCTTAAAATTTACTAGAAACTTGTCTGAACCCGGTGGAAATTGAAAATCATAAATGTTGCAGGTATCCAAGTGGCTTAACCCCATAAGCAGTGACTGTAATCAACCAAGGATACACCTCCAGCGGAGGTAAGTAAAATGAGATTATCCTTCGCACAATATCGTACTACCTTCGGCTTGGATTAACGGACATAACAAATATTTGTCGTTTACGATCGTTGTTGTAACATTTCGGTGATACCCTAGCGAACCATTAATATCATCTTCCACTTAACGAGTCTGACAAACTTTATTATCGCTCGTTAATTATTTTAGTTCTAACGCTTGATTATACAACTTAATACATTGTTGCATGAAATTTTCGAAAAAGGTGGTCAGAAATTTAACTTTTTTATTTTAATAAACGTTGATAAGCAACACGGTATCGTTGGAAAAAGCAAGGTGAACCGATACCTTCTTGGTCCAATGTATATCTTAGGATAAAATTGACTTGGAAACCGATCAATGAGAAGACGAGAGGATTGCAGGAAAACTTTCGAAAAATTTCCTTCTCGTTTCTCGAGTGGTTCCGCTATTTAACTTGCACTCTTGATCCACGCTATCGGAGGAGTCTAATTTTTTTAGATTACGAGTAGTTCCGCGTTATCGATGCTCGTAATACCGTGTCGGCTTAAATTGTCAAATAAAGATCTTCTAACGTAGATAACGTTGCCAATAGCGTTTGAAAAGGATTAAATAAAACTTGTGAAGCAACACGGATCAATAGTGAACATTTCAGAAACTTTGTTCCAATATTACCCGTTCGTATCGACGATTCGATAAGTAATTCTAGAGCTTAATTAAAAGAAGGAAGAGATTGTAGAAAATCAAACGCTAACAAGATGAAAAATCGAAAAGTCTCACAGACTAAATAACATCGTATTTTTACGGGATTTACGCTAAAGTTCGGAGAATCATTAGAGAATCCTCTTTCTTCGGGCGCAATTTCGAGAAAGTACTTTTTTACAACCACACGCGTCGATGTTTCTTTCTTTTATTCTCGTTTTGGAATTACGAACGAGCGGATTCGCTCGTGTTTCGCGATGTGTAGACTGAAATTAGCGAACCGAAACAGAAGTAGCTTGTGACGCAGGGAGAGCTCGTATTTCTCGAGCACGTGTGAACAACCATAAGCTAATTCCCTTTGGCTCGAAGGTTGCCATAAAAAAAAAGAAAAGAGAAGAGCTTACGAAACGACGCGTTTCGTCGGTACTTAATCCGAATCACCCATTCGCTGTTACTCTTACGAATTACTCTTTTCAACATAAACCGAAAACTCTTCGGTGATCTAATACACTCTTCATAAATTGAGACATTGATCCGTAGAAAATTGAACTAGAAGTTTCATTCCGTTTCTGTATAAAATTTGGATAATTATTTGTATCAAATTATTTATTTCAACTCAATTTTAAAACTAAACTTTTCAAATAAACACAGAGCTTCGACGAAGACTTCGAAGATGTTGAACAAAATTGAGTACCTTTCATTCATGTTGAAATTTTATGCCATGAAATAGGAAGTTGTAATAAAAGAGCGTGCTGATTGTAAGGTGAAGCCAGTAGTACTTTTCCATTTTTTGAAAATAAACGAGACGGATCGTAATTTTCTTGAAAAGCTTTCGGAATGAATTCGCTGTTCATCACGTGTGAGAACATATCTCGAGCGAGTTGTGATGGGGTGGAAGAGGGAATTAAGAAATCAAGGAGATAAGAGAGAAGACTATTGTCTTCTCTTCAAGGTAGATCGACTTTGCCTTCCTACGAATCGAGCAGACTCCTCCTCGAAGAAACGTCTGTAAGATGATCTTTGTATTTCCTCTCTTCTTATTCTGCTTCATCATAACGCGAATCCTTTATAGCAATTCCTTTTCTATTTGTAAGAAAACAGACTATCGTTTCTGAAACGTAACAGTTCACTAACGACTTGCCTTTGGCACAGTGAACCACGCTTTGACCTTATTTAATTGGTACATCATTAATTTGCTAGAAGAATGTGTCAATAGAAAAATTATTATTTATTCAATTATTTAGCAATGGAAAAATTTGTATTCTTGTATAATTTAGTTAATGATCTTTGAATTTCGAGGACTTACAATAAAAATTAATTATTTCTTTTTTAATTGGCCCTTCTAGCAAATCAATAATTAATATTATCGTTAATTATGTACACACACAATATTTCGCGTCGTTTGGTTCAATTTATATCTTACAATTAAATTTAATTACGAACGTTCGAAGAATCTTCCATAAGATAAAATAAGACCGGTCTCTTCGGCAACGCCTCTTCTGGAAGGATTACTTCTTCACACGCGTCGATTTCATAAGAAAGTCAATCACTCTAATCTTATCCTCGGCTGAACAAGTGCTTTTCGTTATCGTACATTTGTCAACATCGAGGTCTTCATACGATTCCCCGCCTTCTGTCGCGTTCAAAGCCGGTCGAACGAAGGGTCCACGCTTTTCATCCATTTTCCTCGTTGAAGATGAAATAAGCGTCGATTTCGTCTCTCGAACGATTACCGAGATCGTACTGCTTTTTAATTATGACTCTCGGAATGAACCAGGAGATCGAAGAAAACATACACTCGCGATTAACCAGTTCAACACTCGGTTGAAGAAACTCACGAAGAATTGATAAAAATTCGATGGACAACCATGTTGAGGTTGAGAATCCACGATCTCGGATTGATCAACGTTAAAAAAGGTTCTCCCTCTTCTTTTCGATGAAAGATCATCGAGGCGGAAAATGAGGGTGAAACCAAGAGGCCATTCTTAGCCCGTTGTTTCTATTTCGTCGAATGATCGAGTAGCATCTTTACACCTGGGTCAACAGAGTCAGCTGTGCTCCGTTCTTCATGGAATCCTTCTCTCTTTGCGATTGATCTTTCGAGTCGTTCCCTATGGTGATGTTGGATCGTGACGTCATGGTCACCGTGGTCGTAGAAGTTTTACTGATCAACAGCCCCCTCTCGGCGTCTTCGTCTTCCATTTCCAACCTGGACTGACCTGAAGCGGCTAGTCTATTCGCTTGAAGCCTCTCCGCGTTAGCTTTGTTCCTCCGTGGGAACACGCTGTTCTCGATATGCAGGGTGGCGTTCACGTCCTTGCCAACTGCACAGGTGCACGCCTTCAGGAAGCTCTTCTTGAAATTGTCGCTCAAGAATGCATAGAGGATCGGGTTCATCGCGCTGTTGCTGTAGCTTAGGAAACCGGCCAATAGAAAGCTGGTGATAGTGATCTTGCTTTGACACTGTTTGGGCGGTGTGTAAATTAGAGCCACTTGCATCAACCAATAAGGTAGCCAACATAGTACGTAGACAGTGATCACTGTCAGCACTAATTTCGTAACTTTACGCTGGGATCGTTTCTTCTCTTTTGATTTATTCTTCGGACCGACCGTCTGCAGCTTCCTGATCACCAGGAAGTAGAAGATTAAGATGAGAATCAGAGGAATGGCGAAGCCCAGGATGAAGGTGTACAAAGTGAAGGTGGTGTGACCTCCTATGTCGGTTGGCCAGTAGATGTTACAGTTGATACCTCTTTCCGATTCCATCGCGCTCGCGTACAGGAATATGGGGATCATGAAGAGGACGCTGGTAAGCCAAGCGGTCAGTGAAACCACTTTCGAGATGAAAGGTGTCCGTATCTTCGGTGATGAGATCGGATGACAGACGGCGATGTAGCGATCAGCGCTCATGATGAACAGGAAGATACTACTAGTGAACTGATTGATGCTGGTGGTGGTCATGTAAGCTTTACACATGATCTTGCCGAATATCCAGCTACGCAAACTCATCGTGGTAACCAGAAAGGGTATACCTATCAGGAAACACTCGTCAGCTATCGCTAGATTGACGATGTACATGTTGGTCACCGTCTGCATGTTGGAGAATCGTAGAACCACGTATATCACCAGGGTATTACCGAGGAGGCCTACGATACAGACGACCGAATAGAGAATCTGATTAACCAACGAGATGATCGGCAGATCTGCCTCGCAATTCTGAATCGTCGAGTCCTCTTGACTCAGTTTCCAAGCGTAATCGATAGCGCTGGTGGTGCTCATTACCGTGCTGTTCATTGTGCCTCGAGTATTTCTTCTTCTGCTTCGACGATTCTGTCGTAAATCTTCTTTTTCTCGCGTTTATCTCCGCCTGAGAAGCTTCTTACGCGATCGATCAAGGATAAACGACTTCTGAAATCCGGAGGCGATCACTCGGCGTAGAAAGATCGCTAGGATATCGGGCAATTTTCTCGAATTTATTCAGTAGGGATCCTCTTTCACTGGGTCGCGATGCTTCGATCGTCTCGGCACGATTCGGTTAAATGCACGTTTCTCGTGTTTTATTGCGAAACAGAGAAGAGACGAAGGTCTGCTGCGTCGACGAGGGCGATACAGGGGATGGGGTCGGCGTCATTTCGTCAAACGTCGAACGATTGCGCTTCCGGCTACGCGATAATCCGGAAGACCAGAGTTACCAACGATTACGATCGTCTTGTTCTTACGCTATTCTCCTTCTTCTTTTTTCTTCGCGAGCAGGAAATCTGGAACAGAATAAAAGACGGCTTTTGAGACGGTGCGATAGAGTCATGGTTCGAAGAGGATCGCGCTCTCGAACGGGAACGCTCTCGCGTCAGACCGATTGAAGATTGGACTTTTTACGGGTCAACGAGGGCCATTATACTCGGCTACCGTGCAGATTACATCTTCGAGGCCGTTCGCCCGGCATCGATTAAACGCTGTCGCTAGCCTAGTTCCTTAGACGCCGTGGATCTTCGTTCGAGAGCGTTCTCGAGCGTTCTCGAGTGTCGCGCTTTCCATTCGCTCGCCCAACTCCGAATAATGTACGGATTTACCGAGCTCGGTAACGCGGACCATGCGATTTTCCACGACAGAACCTTCTGCTTCGACAGACTCGAAAATGAGACACCACCGACCGTTCAATTATTGCGGACAATAAAACCAATTTGTACCGGCTGACTTGTGCGATATCATCGGTTCATTTTTTTCGGCTATATTTTTCAGGGGGGGAAAAGTTATTAAGTTTATCTCGCTTCGGGGATACTTTATCTAGGGAGGCAACCCTGGCAAATAATCGCGCTTGATTTAGCATGAGAGTTTCGAGTTAAATGAAAAGCTCTATATAATACGGCCTCGTAACTTTGCAAGATTTTATTTTAAATCTCATCAAATATTTGTTAGCTATACGAGGTTGCAGCTGGAAACATTTCTTTTCATCAAGTTATGAATATTTCATGCTGATGGAAACGAGTTGTTTGCTCGTAAAGCAAATTGTAGATTTCTCGCGAAACAGTCGGCTAGCTGGAGCGAGAATCTTGTTGACAAGCTAAGTGCGTAAGCAAAGGGGATGATGGAGAGTGGAGAGGGCAGATTCCGAGAAACGAGCTGTTAGGGTGATCCGCGTTGTTCCGTGAAAGCCAGCGAGACGAGCGGAAGCTTTGAGGTAACCGCAAGCTCTCGTTGCGTTACAGGAAGCGCGTTACCGAGCTGTGCAAACGGTCCGCCAGTTGAGAAACTCGTCAACTCCACCTTGTAAAAGTACGCGAGGGCTCCTGTGCCCTGAGGGGCGACTGTTTACAGAACGCACTTTGAATAACGCAAACCACTCCCGGTGGAAGGAAAAGGGCTATACGTGTCCCATCGGTAAACGATGTTTCTTTGAACAGCGGTGTTGTCCGCTTTTTTGGGGTGTTGCTTTCATCAATCGGTCGAAGTTATCAAAAACCTCGCACGAGAGATCAAGAAAGTAATCAACTTTGTTCAGCTTCTGCCCGAGGGTTCTCGAGGGATTCTCCAGGAAAAATTGCCACGATTGTGTCCAGCTTTTGGGAAGATGATTGGGGAAAATAAATCATCTTCAGCTTCTATTTGAACGGCAGAAAACGGTGGAAATATTTCTTAGGAAAGTACAATAATGGAAACTCTATTATTCGTCTCGAAAGGCACAAGTTAACTTTTCTTAATTTTCTTTTTATAATAATTGAACAAATACTAGCTCAATGAAGGTAAAAAATTCCACCCTAGTTAACAGTTAAAAGTCCTTTCTGTCGTGTTATTTATTTTCATGCTTTTCTATCTTCGGTAAAATCGATTGTTTATGTTTATAACAATCTGTTCCGTACCATTGTGACGCGGAAACAACGGAAGCAATATTTTATTCAGGTTACTGTAAATATATGGCGATGGAAAAAAAATATACAAAGGAAAACGTTACCTTTACGGCCCGTTCCGTGTTGGTTTCCAGATTTCTCTAACAAAGCACGTGTTTTCCATTTGGGAAACTGGTTCAAAGTTTTTTTTAACGATGTGCAAACTACACGGCGTGTCCTTAAAACTATAATCAGTGAACTCGAAACTTTTTTCCCTGCGAGGGTAATGCTAGTTTGTTCAAACAGAAGATAACCCGCACGAGAAACTTTTAAACGTTCTATCGTACTTGCATATTTGCATTTTAATTGCTACCAGCTGTTACGATTATGAGAACGTTTTTTTTTTTAACTTAGAAAACTGTTAACAGATATATCAGGGCGTTAAAATTTATGAAAGATTTTCATTTCGTTATCCCCAGTTTCAAAGGTTTATTATTAATAGCCGACGCGGATTCTTTGATCTTTTTCTTCGATAGAAATGCAATCACGGTAATTTCGTGAATATCACGATTATCATCGCAAACGGAGACGTTATTAGCATATACTTTTAAAATCAGGAAACGTATCATCATATTTTCGTTCAACTCGTACGCCACGTGTTGCCGAGTTTCATTAAACTGGAATCATTATCGGTATCCAATACGAAAGATTATCCAAGCTTTTAACGCGTCCGTGAGTTCGAACATTACCGTGCCGTCGATTTCTCTGCAAAAAGTTCATTGAAATTCGAGTTATCAGTATAACGCGTATAATTAAAACTCGGCGAATGGCTATCTTGTTTCTGCACGATGCAAACATTTTCGAAACGTTCGAAAGCTGCGGAGCTAGCCCGCTTTTTAATCAAATCCAAAGATACGAGAGTAACAATGTTTTTCAACCAAAAATCGTATAAAACTGCCGCAAAACTCTGACCGGTAGTAGATGTTACGGGAATTGCATTTAAATCGTTGCACCCGAAATAAAAACACCACGTTGGAAAGTTACCAATTTTATTCTGGTAGAAAATAAAAGAAAAAGAAAAAAAAAAACGCGCAGGAGCTTCGTTTCCGGATTTTATTGCCTCCATGTACGCGTGTCACGTGCTAGAAAAATACTGCAAGTAATAACGTTCCTCCTACGAGTTTTCGGCTGCACTTTTAATGACACGTAGCCGACAGAGAAACATATTAGTATCGCGTGTAATAAACCGGTCCATCCGAAAGATGGATCCCAGTTTACAATTCGCGTTCACCTAGATTTAATACGCGTTCGAAATGGCAAAGGACAGAGGACACGAGCGATTAAGTGGAGCTTCGCTAATAAATTTCGCTCCCCCTTATTGCAATCCACACGAGCTGATGAACAGGCATACATACGTTGTTTCGATAAATTTAATTCTATATTACTCGCGGGTTTAATTCATGAATGCCTGTTACATTACTGAAATCCAGCTGGAAATTGCGAATCCATTCAGCCAGAATGGTGCTCTTTTGAACCGAGCGACGATTTCGCAATTCAGTCCAGCAAGTAGGTAAAGAATACTTTTTCAAACGATAAAGCGGAGTTTAAATTTTAATATCCGCGTTCAAGTTTATCGAGGGAAAAGAATTCTAGTACTGGACACGTGTCGCTCAAGGATCAGGATCCGTACCTTTCATTAGCGTGCAGGAGATGAAACAAGTTACGGAGGTGGAAGACAGTAGGAAAAAAAAGAGGGCAACCTCGAGAGGGATGGAAAGAGATGGTCGGTGAAATTAATTAGCAGCGTAGCTCGGCGACCAGCGGCCACTAAAAGTAGAAACTCGAGAGAAACTGGGAGAGTGTACAGGGTGGGCTGATGTCGCCACTTCGGTACACAGTCCTTGAGCGATTGAAGTAGATGAAACGATTCCCTCCGACGCGACACCGTGAAACTTCCGATTGATTGTAAATGTGCCATGATAAACTAGAGCGACCGAAGGACGGAATAAAAGCGAGCTTTTGCATATTGATCAAGGATGTTTCACGAACGCGCTCGTTACACCGTCCACGATGAATTCTCGATCCATCGATCCGATGGGCGGATATGAAAAGTTCGGTCCGAGGGACACGTATTGAAATTTGTCCTCCATCGTACAGGCAAAGAGTAATTATACGTGTAATTGAATGGAAACAAATGCATTCGTTCGTTTATTTGCAGACAGAGGAGAATTAATGCGACGATATCCGAAGCTTTTCAACTCGGATGAACTGTGCCAATTTGTTTGTTTGTATTAATTAATAGCAACTGCTGTGCTAATATAGTACAACTGATTTAAAAAAAAAAAAAAAAATGCAATTATATCATTATAGAGTAACAAAATTTAAATTATCTCGTCGCCTTGCTAAATTTCATCCAATTTTGAAACGTATTTCGAAACGACGGTGATTAAAATTTTCATTTCATTTTCTCCATGAAATATCCTACTGTGTCCTTTGACGCATGATAGTTTAGGTAGCTCGGCTTAATGCTTAATCCTTCCTATTATACTAGCTGGTATCACTTTGTGTATGATATACAACCGTGCTCCAACAGAGACGTATTGTTATTATTCGACCATAATAACGTCACGCCGTTTCCTTCATCCCTGATGAAACAATGCGTGAATTCTCGTTCCTGTTGAATAGAATTCTCGAACAGCGGCGAGGTCCGCGTAAACAACTCCGTTACCAATAAGAGTAATATCACGAATCGTTGGTTAAAACGGAAACGATGACCTCCTGAACGAACGTCGTCCTCGTCGTCGTCGTCGTCGTCGGTGGCGTCGCCGGCGTCGGGAGCCTTGTAACCGATACAAATGAATCGATTACGCGTCGTACAACGTTGAATCCATTCGCGCGCTTTGCAAGCAAATCGAGGGACCAAATGAAGACGTATAGAACACGTCGTAAACCAACTTCCCAGTCTTGTTTTCCATCGTTTCTCCATTCGTAATCGCGTACCACTTACGTTCCAGCAAATACATAATTTTTCATCGCGAACACGTACGCGTACCGTTGCATTCTTCTTTGCCCCGTGTGCCAGAAGGGTGGCAATCTTAAACCCATGAGAAACGAGTTTAAATTGGAAAGATTTTTCTTCCCTCCTCGAAAATGCAGGATGCCCGACTCGGATGCTTTTATAGAGAAAAAAAAGGAAAAGTTGTTCAAGATTGCCTTTTTGTATCTCGTTCATTTTTAATTTCCTATAGAATAAATCTTCTCTTAATTTGCATCCGCATTACGCATTTCCGTTCGATGGAAAAAATGCAAAGGCGGTCCATGAAAATTCACGGCTGCATAAAAAGTAGATACATGAAGTGTTCATCAAGCGGAGCTAATAAAAGTCAGTCAAAGCCGTTCCTTGTAGAAACTGAAGGGAGTATACACGCGAAATC